ATAATCACTTCCACAGAATCAGTAAGACAATATATAGGCACTCTCAGGAATTCGCAGGCAGTGAGTGGCAGCTTTTTCCTAGCAGCATGATAACAAACACTGCATTTTGGCCATTACTTTTTAACATATACAGCTAATGCATGTGTACACAAACAAAATGCCATCTAATAAAAAAAATGTTAGCTGAAATTAGCACATGTAGTAGAACTGAATAGAACTATTATCTGTTATAATTGAACTGAAGTACAGTAATGCCCAATAGGGATGATTAAGAAACAATCAAATCAAGCAGAGAAATTCAGTGGGACACTGGCTTTTCTCCTAATAACCCTGGAGCTGTTGATAGCCCAAAAGTAAGAGGAGAAAAAGAAAAGATGCATTTAGTCTTCCTGAGGAAAAAAGGAAGAAAAGCTAGTTGTAGCATGTTTGACTAGGATAAACGTATCAGGACAGTTATGATCTGTACCACACATTATGCTGTTAAAAGCTGTGTGGGAAATTCAGCCACAACACAGAGCTACAACTCTGCTTATAGTATTCATATTTACAGACTGAAAATGCAAGTTATATTTAATTCATCCACCTGTTTAAGGTGCGAAGCAACAAGAACTTAATTTTTCACTTGCCCTTGTTTCCGCAGAAATGAAGTAGTACAGGTGTGTGCAGGAAGTTTAAGCAGTGTGACTTCAGTATGAGTAGCTGACAGGAAGAAGAAAAGCAGATCAGTGTCTCAGACATTTTTGCATCCATAGATAATCTGTTAGCTATGCCTGAGAGGAAGCCATTGCCCTTGAAAGATGCAAACTAGTCAGGCCTAAGCAACATGCTGCATAACATTCAAAACCACAACCACAAATGCATTTCCAGATCTCTGCTTAATTTACGTATCTGGGAACTAGAGATTATGTTTCTGCTATTATGAAAATAGCACTACCAACATTAATTCTTCTACAGATGGTCTTAGATGACGGGGTTGGGAGCTGCATTATTTACAAAGTTCTTTGTTAAGGAGTTCGGAAATGCTCACCTTCCTGCACAGCCACAAAGGGCGTCTGTGAGTCAAGAAGCATCCTCACCTAAAATATGCATCTAGAACAGGATTGAAATAAAACTCTAATACCTGTATTTTTTTCCCCACTGATATCAACACTGAATAGTATCAGAACATCAAAAAAAAATCTGTTTAACTCAGTAAAAGAGCTTTTAATTAGTATGCATTAATACACAGTAATTCATACTAATACATCAATGTTTAAATCACATCAATGCTACCCATTTAGAGGAAGTACTATAAATATCAGAAAGCCTAAGAGGCTAGAGATAGACTTAGCATATTTTATTGATGGACTAAAAGGTAGTTGAATTGCTTTATGTGATGAAGTGTTTGCTTGAGATACCATAGCTCTAACTGTAGAAAAAAAGAGAGAACAATACACTTGAAAATACCTTTGAATTGTGCATGTTACCTACTGCAGGAGCCAGAAGTCATTTCTAGCTTAATACTGTGGACTACTGGGAAGATAAATATTTTTTCATGAGATCATATCCAATTCTGCAACACAGTTCAAAAAAAGGCCATTAAGAACAAGCAACCAGTTTTTGTCAACTGAGTGAGCGAACCTCAGGATACACAGGATAAATTAGAATATGTCAAAACAATAAAAAGAAAAGTCACAGCTAAAGGATTGTTTGGTTTGGGATACAGTGAATACTGCTGTGCTATAGTTTGAAGTACAGTTAATTAAATCTCCACCAGCACAGAATTTTTCTGTTGGCCTTCACACAGACCCTTACTAGCCAACACTTCAGACCCTTACTAGCTTTTACAAAAATGCACTGATCAATTCAGATCCTGTGATTCCTCCACACTGTCTTTCCTAGCATGTGGTTCCAAATTGTTTCATCCTGACAAGAGGTACTATGTCTTTGTTAAGACTGGTGCCAGAATACAGGAGTGTTGTGTGATTCAGGACACTGATTTGTTAGCAGATAAATCAGAGCCTGCCTATGTGGGTTAATACTAAATACATTCAAGCATTTTTGGAGGACTGAGACTTTACAAGCAATATTTTGGGAGGACTGAAACTTTATTTTAAACAGTACAAGTAATTCAACAATAGAGCTTACTTAACCACATCACACTCGCGCCCACTGACGTCACTTCTCAGTTTAATTTAGTTTCAAACATCCCATTTCATCTCTTTGACAACAGTTACAGTGCTTACTGTACTGTTGCAGTGCAACTGTACTGTTGCAGTGCAACTGTTGAAAGCACTGATCTGGGTGCAGGTTACAGCCCGAATATCATCGCAGTTCAAGACCAGAAAACATCCTAAAGCACAAACAAAGAAAAGAAAATTCTACCAGTTCCAAATACTGTTATTCTCAGGGGGAAAAAAAGCTGCAAGGCAAGAATAAGAGTGCCCAGCAGGGAAGTAGCATTACAATAAGGGCACCAGAGGAACACAGGTTACTTAAGTAACATCCCATCTCCAAAGATAAACATGAATGCTTCAGAGTATTTTAAAAGCCCCGAGACATTGATTTTGCCTACAAACAGCTGCCTATCCATAGAAAACATTTCTATTTATTCCTACTATTGCATGACTGAATTCCTACATTCTTCAGAAAAAAAGACTACTTTTGAGTTACATTTTTTATCTAAATGTAACCGTGAGGTTTGAAGATACTGATTTCCTCAAAACCTTGTTTTACATATATTTAATAAGAAATCCTTTTTATTTGAAGTGTATTAGTTTCTCCTACAATGAAAACAAAAGGAAAACAGGACCTACAATAAAAAGTCAGAACTTAAACCACACAAAGACAGCCCAATAACAAAAACCACATGTAAGTATAACTTAGGAACTACATTTATAATAAAAATTCTATGATAGAGCTATAACAACCATTTAGCTGAAACCCAGTATCAGAAAGAAATTAAACTGCACAACAATAGAAAACAAAAACACAACCAAAACAACCCACCACCCAGTAATAAAAAGCACAAAACCACCTGCCTTGGGGCTGTGCTTATATAGATCCCTGGTAGGGTGTAGGTGAGGCCCCAGGTGGGGCTGCTTGGGGCCCTCAACACATGTATTAGCTTACACAGCTTTCTGGGAGCTTTCACCTATGTAAGGGTCTGTATGTTAGTTTTGGACCTTCAAATGGCTTGTGAAGGTTATTAGCTGCTTTTTGTTTAACTCTTAAAAAGGAGATTTAGCATTTTCCTGTTTTCTTTAAGGCATGGTGTATTAGGTCTGTTTGTAGGTTTTTTGTTTTGTTTTTTTTTTTTTTTTTTTTTTGTGCTTTTTAGTTGTGGGTTTTTTTTAAGTGCTGATGTTTAAGATATTTAAAGCTCTTATTATAGTTATTTTTTTTTCCTGAGTAACTGTAAGAGTTTTCTTTTTGAACCTGAAGTATTTCTATGAAATTAAGAAATGCTGGTGTGTTTGTTCAAGAAAGGGATACTTTAGCTTAGCTTGATGGCAGGTAGATCTAGTAAAGCGTATTATCTGCTCTTTTTAGGTGCTGGAAGTATCAAATTCATCTAAGAGCAGTGAGGCATGTAGGATACAGAGAACTGCCTTAGTGTTTTTCAGGTTGTATATCTGTTAATGAAACAATGTTGAATCATAGAGTGAGGTGTAAGTGTTGTTCAGAAAGAGTTCCCACAGCACAGCTATACAAGTCGGGATCTTATAAAATGTGTAATAGCAATTACAGGACATATGAGTGTTTTGAGGAGTTTTTGTTAAGAATAGAAACGGATAGAGTCAGATAAAACTACTCTTAATTTTGAACTGGAAGAGTGTGTTTACTAATTATGTCCTAGGTACTGTAAAACAGTAGAAGCAGGAGTATTTTTTTCACTTCCTTTTTTTAGTCCTTGCTTATTTCCTTGTGGGATTGTGCTACGCTTTGGGTTGCTTAGCTGTGCACATCACTTGTGATGTTTGTAGGCGTTTGGGGTGTATTCCTTTAGAAATGTTTTCACAACAATTTTTCTGAATGAGTAGCAGATACATTAAAGAACGTTCTGTAGGTTTCATGTGCTCAGTACCATACAGCACAGTCTTGCATGTTCCTTCTTTGCAAGAACAACTGTATGGCTGTAGGAAGATACACGTTTTGGGGTGTTGTTGAGCAATGTTTTGTGAAGAGGAAGTGGAGGTGCCAGTAGGTACTGCTTATGGCTTGCTCTGGATAACTCCAGGGATGGGTATGTGGCTGCTCCCTGGAGTCCAGGTGCTGGCACTGAACTATTTCTTATGCAGGATTTGCTGTATGAGTGCCGTTGGGATCATATTGCAGCACTGTTACTGCGTGTATGCACAGATGTATGATTTCTGCTTCACTGCAAGCTTACGGGTATTTGTTCCTCGTTATCAGAACTGGAGCCAATGTGTAAGGAGTTAAGAACTTAGATCTGAGCTGCTGAGAAGACCCTGCCACTGTTTGAATTCCAACAGGAAGAAACAGAATTCAGAGTTTAAACGTCAACATCTACAGGCCGTTATTGAAAACCCCGCATTCAGCACGTTGAACGTCAGCAGAAAGCCGTGCCCTAGCGGGGCGGCACCCCGCAGGGGCCCTGGTGCGTGGAGGAGCTGCCCCGGCTAGGATTGCGCCAGCTCGTCTCCGCCGGGTGGCGCCCGCGACCCCTGCCCGGTCACCCCGCTCCGTGCCGGGCAGCGCTCCGACAGCTTTCCGTAAAGCGGCGCTCGAGCCGCAACCGTCGGGCCCGAGGAGAGGACGTGGAGAGAGCCGCGCCCCGGCCGTTGCCAGCGCGGCGTCCGCGGAGCGGGGAGCGGCTCCTGGCGGGCGGGGCCGGCTGCCATGTAAGCGCTGCGGGGCGGGGCCGGGGGCTGAACAGCACCCCGAGCCGGGACCGGAGCGGAGAGGAGCTGAGCTCCGTCCTCTCGGTGCCGCCGTCGCTCCGGGTATGGGTGCGGAGCGGGGCGGCGGAGCGGCGCTGCCCCGCGGCTCTGAGCGCGCGTGGGGGCGGCCCCCGGGGGGCTCCCGGCCCATGGCCTTCATGATGATAAAGAAGAAGAAGTTCAAGTTCCGCGTGGAGCTGGAGCTGGACGAGCTCTCCTCCGTGCCGTTCGTTAACGGCATCCTCTTCTGCAAGGTGCGGCTGCTGGACGGCGGCAGCTTCAGCGGGGAGTCCTCCCGGTAGGTGCCGTCCCGGGGCGGCCCCGCAGCCCTTTCTTTGGCTCTCGGAGCCCCGCAAGGGGCGCGGGCGGCGGGTTCCGGGGGTGCGCTGCTAGCGGTGGTGGATAAGGTACGGCACCCGTAGACTCGTCGTCGACTCGCTGCTTGAAGTCGTAATGCTTCCAAACAAATGCTAAGGCTCTTAAACGCCGGTGAAAAGGTGGAATGAGTCCTCGAGCGGCTGAGGCCGCTTGTGCTTGAGCCGTGATGTCTTGAGCTGACGGGGTGAGTAAAAGGAGAAGGAATTCCTGCCGCCGGTTCTCAAGTCGGAGCAGTTTGGGTGCAGGCTCTCTGCCTGCCGTCGTATCGATATATAGATACTTGAAAGGAGAATTAATGTTAACGGGTTCGTAGAGAAGTGCTGTCTTCTTTCTTGCATGTGTTCGAGTCACATGCTTTACCGGCTGCTCCTGCTTGATGCTCCAGTGAAACTGAGGCAATAGACGGTTGTCCTTTTTCCTTCTGCGTTGTGCCCCAGCGGTACAGCTGTCGCCTGCCCGGGTGCTGCCCCGGTGAAACAGCCCCGCTCCGGCAGTGCCGGGTAGGGGTGGACTGCGGGCAAAGCAAGGTGTGCTGTGAGCTGCAGGTTCACCCCACGTTTCCCATGGGGACATGGGATGGCCCTCCCGTTACAGTTATTCCTGTTGTGTGGCTAATTATATTACTCTAATGTTATTACAAAGATAATTAACTGGAAATGTCTCCTGGACTTCTGTGAGGAGACAAAAATTATTAACAAATATGTAACTACTCAGTTATTCTCTTATTAAAATGTATTCTGCTGTTGTAGAGCTTCCTGAAGTATCGGCTTTTAATTCTGTAAGTGAAAATAATAACAGAAAATAAAGAGCACCAGGATAGAACTTTGGCTGAATAACTTGTTATTTAACCATTCTAATACACTAGCATGTGCAGTCAGACATTGTTTTCTTCTGTATGGTTGACAGGTAATCAGTTCATTACTGTTCTGTTCTTGTTTTGTGTCTTTTTTTCTCCTCAGTATTCTTCTTGCAAGCAACTTCATCATAAGTAATAGATGGATAACCATTGTAAGGTTAGGCCCTGATGTACTTTTACTGTTCTAATGCAGTCTTTGTGGCCTTGAAGTCACGTTCACGGGCTGATGTATTTCTTGGATAGTTTGAGTGCAGCTGATTCCAGGTGGGCCAGTATGAGTGATGTCAAGGAGGTGAGGCAGAATGTGCCTCCAGAAAGTGTCAGTGGAAACATGATGAAGCTGGGAGCTATGCTGAAATAGTGCACTGGATTCAAGCTTTGCAGTTCTTCTACCTTCTTCTATTCTGGGGTACAGGTTAAAAATAACAACAGCAGTGAAACATATCAGTGCATCAAAATCCCGGTGAGTGTGTTTGTGCTGGCCTGAAAAAGCTCAACACACGCTCAAAGGAAGGTATAGAATTCCTCTGCAGTGATCCCTCAATGCCAATTAAGGGAGTGCTTTTGCTCTCGGCTTAAGAATAAACTAATGGATTTTCATGGTGGTGATTCAGCAAAGGTCCGAATAAATAAGGAAGAAATTAAATTAACAAGAGTGGCAGCATTTCAAGACTTGTCAGGTAGATGTTTCTTCTTAAAATAGCGGTCATCTTCTATTTGCATGTGTTTCAGTGTAAGGTGGTGATCATTTTCTGGAAGTAGTCATCTTTGAAGTGTTAGGAAAAGCTTGAAGGACTTGATTGTGTTTTACTGTGAACACAGCATACAGACTTATCTGAAATGCTGTGTTATACGTGGAAAAACTGACAATGTCTCCTTAATAGCTTCCAGCAATTTTTGTTATTGAGGACTAGTATTTTTCAGGGAGATGCTGAGAATGAAGTTCATACTGATACAAACCAATGACCCACTGCCCTTGACTTAAAAGCAAACAAAAAACCACTACAGAATCAAACTTGAAGAGCAGCAATATCAACAGGCTATAAACTAGGGTAACATTAGTAGGAAGAAATGCCCTAAGAAGGCTAGCAGCAGTGCAGTCAAGGCCTGTGTGTAGTGAGTTGTCATGCAAGCAGATTCGGGCAGTCTGACTGAGCTCTGGATGTTGCTTATGAATGATTAAAACCCTGATCCTGCAGGCAGTGGCAACTTCCTGGATGCTGAAGTGGGACACAAATAAGACAAACAAGTTTGAGCTACTGGAAAATATTTTGCACGCCTTAAATCTCTACCATCAAGTTACAAAGCCCTAGTTCGTATTAATGAGATTCTTTTCTCAGTACAAAAGCTCTTCTGGTTGGTACAGATGTGTGCTTGAAGCGCGTTAAAAATCTATGACCAGATAAAAATGGCACATACAGCCCAGGACACAAACTGATTTCCAAAATAAAAACATCTGAGTTGTTTACAGATGTGATTTTGTACATAAATTTTTAAAACTAGTTTGAAAACATTTATTTGAAAGCAGCCTATGTCTATTGTCTGTGAATATTTCCTGTAGGTGAAGAAAAACTGTATTACAGTACCAAATGTTTTCAAATAATTCAGTAATTTAAAGTATTTTGATGAGAGGGGGGAAAAAAAAACATTGAATAGGCAAGTAGTAGCAGTGTTTAAAATTGAGGGAAATGATGTAGGAAAACTAGGACCCTACAAATCTAAGGCAGATGAATGCATCACATGCTTTCACTCTACAATATGGAAAACCTTAAAGTAAGTTGTGAAGTGGAATTAGGTTTTATTTGTTTTAAGCTGCCAGTCAGCCATCCAATTTTTCTACTGAGCTTTTTAGTATGACTTCAGGATCTTTACAGTAGTTTTTGAGATTTTACAACAAAGCAAATATACAGGGTATATGCCTAGTTATGCTAACAGCCCCCAGTTTTACTAAGAAAACTTACTTAGACCTGGCTTCATATGCAGAAAGGTATCTGTATGCATTTTTATTTTTCTCTTGGCCAGTGGCTATAGATTATCTATCTCTGAAACTGGATAATTCTGCAGATTCCCAAATGCCACCTATTTGTACACTGTTCACAAAATCCTGTGTATATAGTGTGTACCATGGAAGAACAATAGATCATCCCAGGGCAGAAATTACACCTGTGAATATTTTAAACAGGAAATGCTAGTATTCTAGGGTACACTTTCAATGAGTATTATGTGTGTTTTTTTACAGCTAATACAATGCAGACAAATACATTGGAAGCACAGACTGTCTGCAACTGGCCTCACTGTAAATACACAAGAAACAGCTGATAAGCCCCAAGGGTAGATCACTGCTTATAGGCTGAGTTGTTCAACCAACAGCAAAAGAGAAGGCTGCATATGAAGGAAACAGTTGAGTTTTCTAAACCAAAGGATCTTATTTCTTAAGAGGGTGCTTTCAACATTCTACCGTTTAGGCTGAGGCTACAGTAGTTGTAAACCTGGTAGTTAAATTTTCAGTTGGAATTCAACCCCGCTGTACAAAAGGAGTGAAGGATTTGTGTGTTGTTAGGCTTGTAGTCTTCAGTTTGGTCAAATTCTCCTACGTCAGAATTTTGATTTCTGTTATTTTAAGCTGCTTATGGTTCACTTGTTCTTTTATGATCTGTTCAAAACGGTCAGAACTAAGTTGATTATTGTATGTGTGTGACAAGAATATTGATAGAGATGGGGGGGGTGCTGAAAATGAACTTTTTTAATCCAGATGTTTTCTCCTGAAGATTCCAGAGAAGTTAGTATATGATAAGCTTTTGAGTTCTAAGAGGTAGTTGCAGAGCTCCTGGGTTACATGTAATTATATTCTTATTTCTGAGATACTAGGTGGAAAAGTAATTTTCTGCTGTAGAATTCAATATCTTCTGGACAATAGGTATTTCTTGTTTCTACTGATGCTTGGCTGCCTCTTTGCCAGCCAACTGTAACTACATTTGCTTTGTGTGGCTGTGGCAAGCACATTTTCTGCCCCAGTAGGCTCTTTAAATTGCTTTCTAATCATTGTTTCTCTTCCTGCTGCTATTGCTTTTGAAAGGGAGAATTTCTCCTGATAGTCACACAGCTTAAACAGCTTCCTAAACAAACATACTTGTTAAAATGACATACCTGTCACATGGGCTGCTGTCCCTCTCTCTCATCTTCCTGCACAACATATGAATTCTGTGCGCAGTCTTCAGACTTAGTAATGAGTTGTGCTATTTTTAACAGTTTTTCAACTGCAACCTGATGGAGAAAATGGAATGAAATAAATTTTCAAAAGCTGTGAGGCAAGTTAGTGGTAGGAAAAAATAATCCTAAGGCCTCAGTAGCAACCAAGAAAATGTTTGTCTGGATGGTATTTTGTATGACAAATAATGGGTTAAAATACAGGTGAAAATGGCTCATTGCTGTGAGACTTCTTACTGTAAGTACTGGTAAGAGATGCAGCAACAGCTAATTTGTCAGGAAAAAGTTTCTGGAAAAATACATGTGACAAGTATCTGTTAAACAATGGAGTTACAGGTTTTTGTAAGCAACGTGCCCATGTGCTTCACCAATGTTACTGTCTCTTGTACTTTTTCTGCTCTCTGTTGACGAAGGTCTGTCTCTGCCTTCTTTCTAATTTAATAGAAATAGCTGAAGATGAGAATGAAATCATTTTCCATCTTTTCTTTAGGTTGTAAAAAGGAAGCTCTTCCAACTTCTCCTCCTGGTTCATCCCTATTGTTCCTCATCTTCCACTCTCTGGTCTTGCTACATGTCTTTTACTGGAGAGACCCAAAACAGGAGTCAGTGCTATAGAGACAGCCTCACAAATGTTCAATGGAGGGAACGGTAACTTCTTTTAAACTGCTGGCTACAGTCTTATTAATACAGTTTGCCCTCCACTGTACTAATTCCTGTTTAGGTCTCTACATTTGCTTTTAACCAGCAATTTCTTGTAAGTAAAAAATAGCCTAAAGCAGCTCTATGTTCATATTACAGTTTGTACATATTTTATCAGGAATACCTGTCATGAGTACTATTACTTAGATTTAACCTAATTATTATGTGTAAAAATGTGAAATGGAAGATGATTCCTGTCTTAATGTTGCATATACTAACTGCTGCATGCTGTCCTGTAGACAGCAGAGCTTCGCGGGTTTGCGTAGTGCTGAAATTTGTGAAAAACTGAAGGAAACATTGAAGCTCTGCTTGTAAATGACTGGTTTTGTTTGTGTTTTTGCTATGCTTAGGAAAAATGTTTTTGTTGGAGGGAATGCATCTTGCATGACTCAGGCATGGATGAAACCATGCTGAAGTCAACTGTCTTTAAAAACAAGAAATAGATGAAGTTCTGTATAAGCTGATTACTACAGTGTATTCTTCAGACATGCTGCTCTCAGCTCTAACTTAAAGAGAAGACTTCATTTAGCATTCTGTTTATTTAGTAACTTACAAATAAGTATAGATTTTTGAGACATTATATCCAGCTACAAATGAGCAAAAAAGTTCTGTTACTCAAAGATAATGAGGTTAGAACTGGTGCATATACAATTGGGTATAAGTTATTAGGTTATGTTTGAGGGAACAATCAATGTGGGAGAAGGGGTGAATTTAGATTATTTGAGGAGGAACCAGAGTGAGGAAAAAAGTAAAATAGGTAATGGGACAGAAAGGGCTACTCACTAGTGCTCTTCAGTGCTTATCTGGTTGTGCCATGTTCTTATCAGTGCAATCTATACTACCTTCACATTAAACTTTTTTCTAATTCATTTTCTTGGGTGATAGGCTCTGTTGGTGCGTGTGTGTGTGTATAGGGAGAGGCCGGGAATCTCAGCAACAGCAACTGAAGTCAGACTGTTCAAACAGAAGGGAGTGAAATCATTGACTGGTTTAAGTTGGAAGGGACCTCAAAGATCATCTAGTTCAACCCCCTGCCATGAGCAGGGTTACCAGCTACCAGATCAGGCTGCCCAGAGCCTCATCTAATCTGGCCTTGAACACCTCCAAGGATGGGGCATCCAGTTTGTCAGAACAGCCTATAAATGAGGCCAATGGTGCCATCTGTATCTCTGTCTGACCTGTGAGACTGTCTGTGTATAGATGTGGTGTGATTACCTGGAACGTATCTTCAGCATCACTACTGGTTGGACCTGAGGACCCATGGAGAGCTGCAGCAGCCCTGATCCAGCATTATGGATTTTCCCCTGAAAGAGGCAAACAAAACTTAGATAATTCTGGAAAAGCTGCTCCCACTCCAAGTTAACTCATCTAGAGGCATTTTATTTATTCTGTTTCAGACTGCCAATGCCCAGTCTCTAAAGTTCTTGAAAATCCTCAGAAAACTCTTGTAAAAAAAATTACCAGCTTTAGAAACAGCAATAATAATCCTGTTTTCCTTGTGGAGTGAAAAAAGCTTTTTTTTTTTACATTTTTTTTTTTTTAGTACTTATAGGAGGCTTTAGGTTACTCATGTTTTTTTTACTGAAGCTGTAGAACATCTAAACAAGCACTGTTTTCCTTGATATAAAGAAAACTACCTACCTGATTGATTCCAGGAGTATTTTTTAAAATATTGATATAAATTTTGTCTAATATAAAGCTTAAATGGCATCTTGAAGTTGTAAACAAATGCTTCCAATTTTTTGTTTCCTTTTTCCTAACTGCAAAGCAACTGTGCTAGACAAACTGTCTTTTTAACATGATGGTCTGCACATGGCTAAATTTTCTAATCAGCTGTCTAGAATAACTAAAACAAAAACCTGAATAAACAAGTTTCTAATTAACTAAGCACAGTATTTTTGCCTTTAAGGAGTTCTGACTTAATCTCTAAGTTTCTCCTGATTCAATTTCTCCATTTAGGAAGAAGTAATTTTTCACAGGATGCTTAAGGTCTTTACAAGTAATTTATGTTTGCGTTAGCAGCCATTAGATGAAATAAGCCATTATTAACATGTCATATCCATAAGGGAATAAATTGGGACAATAAGCCAATTGGGCTAGGGTTTGTTGCTTCTTGTATGTTTTTCATGTTGATTTTTTTCTCATCTGTGGATCTGAAGAGAAAAGCAAGACTTTTATTCTGTTGTTTTAAAATGCAGTTGTACAGCACATAAAAGTACGTACAGGAAGGGACTTGTCGACAGCAAGTCTAATAGGAATTTAGTCAGTGTGGAATTGTACCTTGAAAGAAAACCCACAATTTGTTCAGCTGACGGTTAACTTGCATTGATTCCAAAGTATGGTCTATCTTAAATATCTGCCTATATTGCATTATCCTTGGCTAGAGCTTACTAATAGTGTTTGCTCCTGTATTGCATGGAAGTGCTACAGCTAGTACATATTTGACTGTATCTTAGTAACCAAGATGCATTTCGATTCATAAAACAACTGTTTCTGCTTTGCACGTGGTAAAGTGACTATGAGGCTCATAGGAAACTGACTCATAACGGAAAGCTTTCTCCAGCGTGCCCCATAACATAGGCACAGTCACCAAGAAGTTATCTGAGTTCACTTCCATAGTAACCAATCAATGTAACTTGATTTTCTGGAGGTCCCTGCATGTGAACTAAGAATCTCAGAAGCTTAAGTAGTAAAATTGTCAATATTTAGCTTGTTTCAGTCTAAGGGGAATTAACTGCTGTTGTTTTTTCTTATGCCAAAATTACCTTCCATAAAACGTTACTTTTTTTTTTTTTCTATCATGAAATTGAAGGGACAGCTCCGTGATTTTGTTTTTGTTTTTTTTCCCCTTCTTTCTGCAGATTGTATATAAATCTTTCAATTATCTTGCTCTTTAAAACCATGAGCCTGTGAAATTAACTATTGCATTTTTGGGGGGCTGTTCTTGATTTTGATTTAATTTTCACAAGAGTTTTAACATAATATCTTGATATTGAGGCATTTTCATAGTAACTTTTACTTGTTTGTAAGAGAACTTTAAAATAGAATTATCCTATTTAGTATTTGTAACATTATTTGCCTGAAGAAACCCTGACCTGTGACATGACTAGATGGAGAAACACTTCAGATGTTGCCTGTATCCTGAAGTATAGTGCTTCTGTGCTCTTTCTCTTACTTGGCCAATGAGATTTGTATATGTAAGTATTGGTAGTATGCTGAAGTAAATTTAAGATCCTTCTAAGGTTTTAAGTACACTGTTAGATTTATCAAGCAGTTACTACTTGTTTATCTTACAGCATAAGCAACATACAAATATGCAGACACCAGATACCATGCACTTGCAGTGTTGTGCTTTACAGTGGACATTTAGCTGACTATTTTTTTATCTGAGAGATAGCAACTGTCACCTAAATGCTACAATAACTATTAAAGCCTTCTCTGTATAACAGAATTTAACAGTTATCCAGTGTCCCTTGAACCATTTTATTGTACTTAGCTCCTTGGCTTAAGCCTGTTTCCAGTGCAGTACGTAGATATGTATAATTTACCTTTCCTGATTTTTGATTCTGTTCTGGGTCTAACTAACTGTCAGACTGGCAGGTTGTTTGTTTGTTTGTTTGTTTTTTCTTAATTTAAAGCACAGAAAGGTTTGCAGTAGAAAACGCGAAGGATAAAAGGTAGATTGTGGTGTACAGAGCCTTTTCCTCTTAGGTCACATGCTTGAATGTGACTCAGTGTTGTATCATCAGAATCCGTTAGTCTGCTGCAGTAATTAAACTGACTCATTTCAGGCAGGCTAGTTTATTCCAACCTTAGTAAATCATTGTGCACATAAGCACTGTAGCTGGCAGCCTCACCAGCACAGCAAGTTTGAGCCTTGTGATTCATCCTTTCTCCATCGGTGATAAACTCTGACTCCAACTTAGGTAGAACCACAGAGTTCTACCTGCACTAAAGATGTCAGGCTAGATCTTCCAATAATTAGGTGTTGTAGGAAGTTAATACAAAATAGCATTATCTGCATTACAAAAATGGAAGAGAAGGAAAAGGGCCAAATACTGCTTTTATGTGTGAAGATTTGAGTAACTGGAGTGATAGAAGGTAGTGTAGATGCTCCGCAGTTCCAAGTTCTGAGTTCAGAAATGTGAGACTAGAAGAGAGATCATTGAGTCTTTACAGATCACAGAGTCTTTATGTCCTGCTACTGACAAACCAGCCAACTATGTCTTCAAATACCTTAAGATTCCTTTGCTCCTGTGTCAGTTATTTGAAGGCTGTTCTACAAAACTGTGTTACAGTTTCAGACCTTGTGATTTTCAGCTTTAAATGTGTGGTTATGCTTGGTTATTTGGCTTAAGAAGTCCTTTAGTGTCTGCACTGTTTGAATAACTTAGCAGGTTTTTTATTATGATTTTTCCTTATAAAATACAGGGGTTTTCTATCCTTTAGTATTAATTTTAGAATCTGTTCATCTTCAACTTCAGTTTCCCTCATGGAAAAATGTGTTCCATTGGCAGTTAACATAGCTGAAAGCATCCTCGTCTTTTGCAAAGCTACATCATTTTGCTGAGCTGTAATCCTGCAAAGAACAAATCCATTCAGATTAGGTACATTTCCAGTACGTGGCTGAAGTTCCTTTATGCTCCAAGTGCATGACTTTGTATAAGGTTATTTTACATTATCTCCTTTGAACTGGTCCAGGCCTTAAATTTAACTAGTTCTGCTTATATGATGCTTCTTTTCTCTATATTGAAACACTACTACCAGTCTTGCTACACAGAGAAGCATGAAGGATGGTTACTTCAGGCTTTGGAGCAGACTTCAGTGTGCACTTCACAAACAGCAGAAGCAGTACTTGTTCTTAAGCTGTCCTGTTGCGTGTTATGGTCCTGAATGCATACACAACTGTTATTAAACATATCTTTCCTATACGCAGGGAGGTGGTGCAGGCAAACTGTGTCCGCTGGAAGAAAAAATTCATATTTATGTGTAAAATCAGCGCCAGTGCCACCACAGGGATTCTGGATACTTGTATCTGCAGAGTGTCTGTGCGGAAGGTAAGTAGTGTTTCTTCTTCCCCCATTCTTTCTTCACTTGTTTTGATTGTAATTTTAAGAAGCTGATAAATGTAATGAAGTTCATTTTAGCTGCAACTATGTCAGGTATTCGACTTGCATAGTAATTTATTGCTTTATCTTGACTAAGTTATGGAGATTAGTTATTAAACATATATTGAAAAGAACAGTCAGTCATTCCAGCAGGGCAGCAGAGTAATTGCTCATCAGTCTCTATAAAGGTAGCTCTTGATGGATCCTTCTGGCAAGCACCAGTAAACTTAGAAGGCTTGAACTATGTCAAATGTGAGAATTTAGAATGAAGCACTTCCTGGACCTGGAGCTAGACTTTACAGAAGGCAAATGCTGGTCTGTTGTCAGGCACTCTCTTCACAGCACCAAGATGCTGGCAGGCACTGAGGACATTATTAATAAATGACCACAGTATAGTCTAGCAAATGTGTGGTGAGATTAAGACTATGTTAATTAAGATCTTATTAAGACTAAGACTAATATTTGCTTTTCTTAAGTCAGTATTTTTAGTGGTTGGCTTGCATAATTATTAGTGTTTCTTGTTTCTTTTTTTTGTTCCTAGGAGTTAAAAGGAGGAAAGGCATATGCAAAGGTAAATCGAGATATTAAATTTAGCTTATGGATTGTCTTTTATTTCTTCTAATTTTAAGTAATTCTTGAATAGTACTGTAATACCTGTGATTTCCATAAGTGTACTGTGGTGACAGTTGTCTGAACTCTTGATGAGCGTGATTTTATCATCAGAATTTTTTCTTCAATTATTTTGAAAGGGTTGATGAAAGTAAACCCTTTTGCATATATATCTTTCAAAAGAAGGCGTCAAATTCTCCTTTCTCTTATTTTGACACTGTCATAGGTAAAAGAAGATCTATGTAGAATTCGATGCTCAGCTTTTCAATGTTTTGTCTTGTGCCTCTCCCTTTAATAGACATCATCTCAACTGCAAGAAACTATTGTTGAAACTACTGTGCATGTAGAAAGTGCTTTCATTTAGTAATATGCATTCTACTAACTGTCATTTTTTCTTTAACAGCTGGGCTTTGCAGATTTAAATCTAGCAGAGTTTGCTGGATCAGGAAATACCACTCGTCGCTGTTTATTAGAAGGTTATGATACCAAAAATACAAGACAAGATAACTCCATTCTCAAAGTAATTTGTTTCTTTTTTTTCCACAATTAAATTAATAAAGCAGTAAGGATGTGTTATGTTTAAACATGAAATGAAGTTTTAAAAAGTATACCTGCTGAACCTCTTCCTAGAGGGAAAATTAGTTGAAGTGAAAACATAAGCCTCATTTAGACAGTATCATTAAAATCCATATAGTCAGCAATGGAATTGGTCCTACTCTTGGATATAGAGCTAGATAGCTGTAAAACAAAAGCTTTCAAATGGTATTCCTACTCTAATAGCAGTGGAAAAATAGAATAGTGAAGTATAATGGAAACACTAAATACATCTGAGTGTGGGAATTACATCTCTAACACTGGACAACTTCCAGTGCAGGTCTCCAAGTGAATTTTAATTGTTTTATGTGTAAGCCAGCTTTAACACCTCCATGAATCCTGTAACCTAACCTTTTATTTTGGGTAGTAGGAAATATAACAATTGCCAAGAATTGCTGAAACTCACCCTGCTTGTCTCTCTTTTTAGTTTATGGAGAATGAGAAATGAAGTAAGCTGCATAGAGCTCATTACAGAAGGTTGCAAGTAAATTAAAAAAAAAAAAAAGTTTGTCCTGCCAAGACACTAGAATTTATTTCTATTAGTATACCATTCATGTGTGCACTTTCTGGTGTCTTAAATATACTCTGAATTTTAATTGATGGTTTTGACCCAGCCAACAAGCCTTCTCAGTGTATTACTGTTCTATGGTATTATTTACCTTTTGTGGTTTTACTTTATCTGTGATGTTTGCACAGATAGTTCTAGTGTGCTGGCAGTTTGCTAAACACTGTTAGCAAACAACATACTTTAGCATCCACTGTTTTAAACAAAAATCTTTTTGCTCATGAATCTTCTAGTTTCAAGGGAAAAATAAGGAGACACGAATTCTCTCTTAACTAGTAATGGTTTTAAGATCATTATTTATCGGCCTGCCTTTGACAGAATTTTTAAAATGTAATTCTGTTTTTTTTTTCAAATGCTGCTTTGTTTTGTGTACTCACAGTACATATGTAAATATGCTTTTTTCTTTCTTTTGCATAAGCATTCAGTTGCATATGTGATGCTATTTTCCTGAAATGTAGTATTCGTGGCAAATACAATTTAGTATGACAATATACTACAGATTATTTTTTTTTCTTATAGTCTTTCTCTTCTTCATGTGTAGGTGTTGATCAACATGCAGCTAATGTCTGGAGACCCATGTTTTAAAATGTAAGTTTTTAATAATTTGTGTTGGATAATGCTTTAGTCAAGCTTAAGTGGCTCAGTTCACATTTGAAATTACATTTCTGCTTTGCATATATGAATTTCTTCAGGTTGACAACACTTAAATAAAAACAAAACTGTGATGGTGGCTGAATAATGGTTAACATAGTAAAAACAGCAGTGGAAGTATCACAGTTCTCCTTGCTGTTAAATACTTGGCACATTTTCAAGCAAGGACACTAGCCTGCACACCTCCAATGACTATAAAAAAAAAAAGGCACATAAAGGAAGCTGTTCATATAGCAGGCATATATAAAAATAGATCTGACTGATGCTTGCTTGAAGAATGTGCTGCTACAGGTTTTGATTGCTAATTGAATAAGGCTTAAATAAAACCACTTGAATGCGTGAAGAGTTAATTCAAGACAAAGCACATCAAGATTTTTAGTTAGCAAAGATATTTCTTATTATATATGACAGGAGATAGCAATTTTGTGTATATCATTTATAAAAGTTGTATTTGACTTGTCACAAGTTACTTGAGGGAGGGGTGACTAAAATCCATTCGTTCACAAATAAATTCCTTAAATCCTATTCTAACTCTATTCCTTTAAATTCTGTTCACTTCATTGATTACTTCATTACTATACTGAAACTAGCAGGCATGGAATCAAAACAAGAGGACATGTTTCTTCCAACACCATGCAGTCAAGTGGAACTCTCTCCTACTACATGTTGTGAATAATAAAACTAAGCTCCTGAAAGATTTATGAAAAAATCTTGAATGAAATAATTTTGTGAGCTCTTGGGTATAAAATACGTGAAGCTCATAATGTTTGTAAGCTAGAGCTGAGCTGTTGGAGTAATTTTCAGGCGATAATAATATTCTGTGTGTCCCTGTTATTTCAGCATCTGCTATTTGCTGCTGACAGAAACAGTATGCAAAGCTACATAACACTATGTTCTGAGACAACATGCTTGGCTCCTTCTGATCTCTATCAAAAAAAGTCTCATCTAGTTAGTATTAGATAACATGAAAAGAAAAAAATGTCTTAATGAAAAGGAAAACCATTTAGAAGCATTTGCTAGCTTCATACTTGCTATGTCAGTCTCATCTTTCTTGGTAGGTTCTCAGACTTTGTTTACACTTTGAAAGCCTGGATCAAAAATATCTCCCAAAGCTCAAGCTAGTGCTTACTAACATTCTGCACTAAAATAGTTTTACATCAATAAGAATTACTGCTTGCTCAAAATACTGTTATCAACCAAATTCAGACTCATGTTTTATCAAATGAATATAGGTAATCAATGTTCCTGTCTATAATCCAAGAATGGGATATCTACAGGTTTATGTTGGAGTAATAAATATATACTGAAGTGTTCCTTAAAAAACACAACAGTATCTTTGTTTAAAGAATTTAGATGAAGCTGTAACTCCAGGAAAAGCAGCACTGCACTCTTAACTCTAAGGTCTAATATGCGAGAGCATAGTAACTAGTAGGTTTTAACTGTTTTGAGGTAAGTCCCTGTGTACTTAAGACAGATAAGACTTGTTTTCTGTAACCAGTACAGGCTTTGCATTACTGCCACAGAAGTATCCTTACCATTGTTTCTGAGGGCATCTGAGAATAGAGCTTGTACCAGATTAGCTCAGGTTGTTCACTGTAGGAACTCTTCAGTCCAGCTGCACCACTTAAAACTCCTGTCTCTTCTCCTTGTCCAATCTTACAAAAAGCAGAGTAGAACAGTGTGAAATCTCATCCTGTGCTTACAGAACAAACAGTAAGATGGTACTTTCTAAATCTCTTCGGTCAAGCAAAGCTTTTCCATTTTCCTGGTTACTGAGTATTTCTTGATTTCTTTGAGTCAGACCTATTAAAAATATTCTCACTGGTACTGATAAACAAACAGTTTCTCAGCCAATTAACTTTTATCGTCTATACTAATAAAATAATGTCTTTCTGTTCAGGTAGCCAAGTAGCTGAACTTAACAACTAAATAGTTTTCCGCTTCGTTAGTAAAAACTCTGTGGCTGAAGGCTGAAATTATTCAGACTCGGCATTTTCTTCCAAACTGATGATATACCATTTCCCAGAACATAAACTTTCAACACAAACAGTACAAATAATTTATCTAATCCAGATGTTCTTTGTAGAAGGAATAAATGACCACCAAAAACAGTTGCACAATCTGAAATCAGCTACATATTTTAAGAAGTCAAGATGGCTTCACATCTGATCTGGGGTGATATCCCTGAAAGCATTCAATTCTTGCTTTGAAAGGTATGTAGGTTGCTCAGAAAGTAATGCCTCCTATTTATTTATATGACAACGACAACATTAAGAAAACAAACATTATTATAGCAAATACACCACCATTAGCTATGCATTTCTATGAGCAGTGAACACAACACTGCATGTTGCACTCATAAAAATCTGCATGGCCATTCAGAACATGGCTTGTCTTGCAGGTTGCTGTTGGCACTGCAGAAGCACACCGTCTACCCATGTTATTGTTCTCACTTCCACACTTTGGTCTCTGTAAAGGTTCAGCAAGTGTCAGTGAGTGTCATTTTTTCTCTATGGAAGAATTCAGTGACACACCTTTGCTGCTTATGCACTTCCATGTCAGGTGCCGTTCTGTCAGACTGCCCATCTGCTGCCACCTGTCACACAGCAACAAAATGTAATGGAATATTGGTGAAGAGCTTCAACCTCTGCTGCCATACTGCCAACATTTGCCTCTGACATCATGCACCAACGTAACAGAATAGAAGGCATTACTTTCAGATCAGCCCTTGTATGTTAGACATTCAAGTCACATAGGCATTTTGTGTCCTGAAGTGCTTTTTCTGCCTTTCTGTCTTAATTTCAAACTTAACGTGACAGGGGACATTACTGTACATACAGTGGCTGATTTATTAAATATCAAACATAAAAATGTTAACAAATTCCATTTGTATGCAGAACAAGGGTCTGATCCCACGGTCAAAATAACAAAGCATTGCAAAACATGGAGATGATATCATGAAATGTACTTCAGTTGTGTTTGACCACTTGCATGAGCAGATTACTTTAACTGTCATTTTCTAACACTACGAGGTTTATTCTTCTTAATAAGTATCTCTTTAGGTTTTGGTATACATTGAAATAAGCACTTCAGCTCTATGAAGAACTTTTTTAGTACTACACCAAATTTAAATAATATGGTGCACAATGTTTTTTTTCTAATTTGCAAGGGATAGAAGTTAGAGGAAAATACATGAGGATAGGAACAGAAGGCCCTCTGATAGGAGGGTGAGGGCAATCACCCTGGAATCTCCTCATGTACTGCAACAGAAATGAAACAAAGCCAACGATATACTGCACTGCACAAGCCAAGTAGGCAAACTGTAGTTATGTGGCAGGTTTTTTTTTTCTTTTTAATTTACTATCTTACCATGTATTTCATAAAGTACTGAGTTACATCCAATTCTTAGCATGTATATAATCCTTTGATTTGTATGCTATAACAATGAACAAAACCTTCAAAATAAACACATCACTCAATGAATCAAGAAGAAAGAAAAGCCTTTCCAAGGATCCTCAGATCTGAAGGACTGAGCAGATGGATGCTTTAGAAATGTCCTGAAGCACAGTAGCTAAAGCATTTTTTTTTCCTTTTCTTTTTGTTTTGAACAGGAGCTAGACAGCATGTTCCCAGAAAAAGGTTACAAGACAGCTAGCATGAAGCACAGTATGAATTATGCCTACTTGAAAAAATATATATATCTGTGCTGATCAGTTTAGAGGAATCACAGCAAAAGTACAGCAAATTCTAACCACTTTTCTTCTTACAGGCCTCCTTCCACAGCAACATCTATAGCAATTGCGGGAGAATCAGAATCTCTGCATGAAGATAGAAAAGGCAGAGAAGACTTAAAAGTAGTACATCTAGGTGTAGCAGGTATAAAATTATGTTCTTAAGTTCTTAATTTATAACTGGCTTTAGAGCTTCAAGAACATACCTATGAATTACTTGTAATCTTAAAGGGATGTTGACTGGTGGCTCACAAAGGGTCCCTTTTGACTTTGTTTGCTGAGACATACTTTCCTAAATAACAGCAGTGGAATGTCTTTTTTTAATTTATGTACCAGTTTATTTAGTGGAAAGTCTGAAAGGAAACGGGCTTGACGGGCTGCCTTTTTAATATTTAAAATCTTGCACTTTCTACGTCACACATAACCTGATTTGCTTTGGATTTATATCTCAACAGAATATTTAACTTGGCCCTTGGCTTCAATTTATGAATCATGGTTTTAGGGATATGCATATCCTTAAATTTTCAATTGGTAAAGTTCTGAGTATTTTGTAAAATACTCAAGTAGTTATTCTGAAACAATCTATGCATGCAAACAATAAGAAAAAATACTTCATTATGAGTTGTTTTTTTGTTTTTGTTTTTGTTTTTTTAACAAGCTTAAGGCTCTTAGTAATTTTCACCTTAAAAATTGTTTAATTTGTCTTAACCACAGTTGTTTTATGTAATTTTTACCACAAAACACCTCGTACATGATTCTATTGGGTAATTTTTTTTTAAGTGTTTACAGTGTAGATAAATCAAACTATTGTATGCTAACTGATAAGTCACATCCTAAACCACTGATTGAGCACCTGAGGAAAGGCAATTTACCAATGTGACCAGAAAGGGTGAAGCTTGGCTACACCTCTCTTAGACCTCATTTAAGGGCTGACTGCCACTGGGGAAGGCTTTCTGGAGATCTCTCTTTGGTGAAGGTTTCCCTTATCAACCTGGAATTCTCTGATATGGGTGAAAATTTTTTTTCCCTTCCTTTATAGCATCTTTCTATTGTGCCAGTCCTTCCATCATCTCATCTCTCTTGTAATACCTTACCCATCATACTGGTTTGTCTAATTGCTACAGTTATACTTAGAAAGCTACTCAGTGCTACTCTCAAATTTTGAGAGGAGAACCATGTTATATTTTGTGTATATATGTATATATGTATATATATGTATAAATGTTTTTGTTTTTGTGTTTTTTTTAAGGGAATGTATATTCTTTAACATGCACAGTATTTTTGTAGCAATTAGACCTTTGAAGAGATTCATAAAACATCAAATCCCTAATCTCTCTAGGAAACTTGATATGTGATTCTGTTCAAGATTATAGGCGAAGTAATGATGAAGCTGCCTTTGGCAGCGTTACCTGACTAGCATGTTTTGCAGATGTATCATCAAAGAGTGCCTCAGTTCCTGATGTAATTGGTGCATGTGGACATTCCAGAACATCAAGCTATGCAAGTCAGCAGTCAAAACTGTCAGGTAACTGTTAAGTAATTCTTTATGAATTGTTTACAGATTGTTGTTTTTTATTAACTTCCATAATTGTGTACTGTAGAAAGTAAGTATAATTTAATGCTTTAAAAAAGAATTGTATGAACTTGAAACGTTTTCCTGGGAGTTTCAGGTGTGAGGAGTTTGAGGAAGGCAACATTTTCTTTCTTATACATGTAATACTTTGTCTGTTCAGATGTGAGGTAAGTTCTTCCCTGAGCTTTGTCACTCCAATTAACACAACTGATAGACTTTTTGCATTTTGCATGTATAAAAGCAAATAGTTTATCAGCAGAGATGGGCTTACTTCCAAAAGATTAAGGGAAGTAATGACCAGGTAATTGTTAGGAAATCAGAGTTAGTTAAAACAAAAAGAAAACAGCATGTGCTGGAGTACAAAAACTGAAGTGAACTGATGTATGGAAGTGTTTGCAAGACTCTTCAAATTTCTTTCCAGGGGGACAAAACACAAGCTCTGTTTTCAGGATGGTAAAAGATGATTGATGATTATGGCAGCTAACAACATACCTCATCTAGCTCCACTGTGTTTCCCCAGCAGAATACAGCACATGTCACTCTAGATCAGCCAGTCTGTCTGAACTCAGTCACAGGAGAAACACCTCAGTGGGTAGCACCTCAACAGGAATTGGAAGTATTCTAGAACCCTGTAAAGAGACTGAGCCAAAAGTAACTAACACTGATACATCTACTAAAGATACATCATCAGAAAAACTGTGCAGGTATGCTCAATTTGAAAGCCTTATCTAGCAGAACCAAAACATAATTTATACATCACATGTAAGATCTCTAAACATAATTATTTTTACAGACATCCTGTAAAGCAAGACTCTGTGGAATCACAGTTGAAGAGGGTTGATGCTACCAGAGTTGACGCTGACGATATAGTTGAAAAAATACTCCAGAGTCAAGACTTCAGTTTAGACTCAAGTGCAGAAGGTACAGAGATAAATAAGGAAGCTTAAGGAAAGTAAATGCACATTACAGGCCTGAAAACAACTCTTTTCATAGTCCCTGCAATGTATATAGATTACTGTATCATCAGCTTGTCCTGTCACCCAGTAATTGGAAAGACTCTTCCCAGTGTAACCAGAGTTGCGTAATTCTAGTAATTTTCCCAGGTAATCACTTTTTAATCTTAAAAATATACAAGCAGGTACAAATTCATAGGGAAGTTAGTTCCTCCAACCTATAACCTGTCAAATTTGATTCTTAACTTAAAACGCATTCGTCTGAAAGTATCAGTTAGAAAACTGGTAAATCTTAGATGACTTAATTTTTGAAAGGAAGCTAACATACATTTATACTGTTGCTTTCTAGAAGAAGGTTTAAGATTATTTGTGGGTCCTGGTGGGAGCACTTCTTTTGGAAGTCATCATCTACCTAACAGGTATGTAGCCTCGATGATTGATCCATGGGTCACACTAAATAGAAATGCGTCTTATGCGGTAGTCATTCTGTACACATATTATTGATCTTTTCATCTTCTTTATTGTTCAAAGGTATCAAAAGAACTTGCTTGTCATGTTTTAAACCAGAAGACAAAGGTTTCTCCTAAATTCAAACTGATATGCCAAGTAAAAGCATTACTTCTGGAGGTCCTGAAGACTTAGTTCCAAAGTTTTCAGATATGAGCAATATTTAGGTATAGACACAGGAAACAGGCACCAGTTTGAAATCTTAGCTCTAGAGATTTACTGTAGTACTCTCTGAAACTGGAGTCTTGTGTTTTATACATCCACCTTCACAGCATCAAACATTTCTCTTCCTAATAGCAAGCCTAATTTTGTTTCCTTCAGTTTTGCTCACAGCTCTTTTTGTTTTCACAAGTTACACTCTCCCCGTTTCAACAGTTTTTCCTTCTTTAAGTTGTCTGTAGCTCTAAACTCTGTGCTTTGATAATCTGTTTGACATTTTTTTTCATGTAGTTGTCTTAGAACCAGAGACTTTCTTCTCTAAAATCTCTTCAAAGATTCTGGTATATACTTTGTATTAGTTAGAGTCTTCTCAGACTAGAACGCATTAAAAACAGGTAACAAGGTGTTCTAACGTAATGATTCTGCAGCTCAATGTAACTCTAAGATTCTTCTATAATCTCATGGAAGTAGCATAGCATGCATTTTTCTTCAGTAATTTCAGTAAGTACTTCCAGAGTGCACTGATAATGTGCTGAAAGTTATAAAATGAATGTATTTAACACAAGCAAAAAATACTAATGTTTAGAAGACAATTATTGGTTTATTTACAAACTGGGCACATTGATTTTTAAACAGGAGAACATGTATGGCTACATGGCACAGTGCTGTAGTATACAGAATTCTGTCCTAATTCAGTTACTGGGCAGTTTGCTATGTAAAACTACCCCCTATGCTATCATGTTGATGAGCTAGGGAGACAAAGGTACATAAATGTGCATTTATGCTTCAGCAGGAACAAAAGACTGAAGAGTTTTTTCTTGTATCTTAACAGACCTAGCACTTGATTTTTAAGAGCTGTATCTATTTGTGTGTTTATGTGTGTGTATTGTGTATACACAGACAATTATTTCTATGTTTGCAGTGGGTGGAGGCAGTATCCAAAAAATAAAATTTAAGGAAGTTAAATATAGAGGCCTAACAATAACTTTTGGCAGGTCTCTAATATTATTTATCATTCTTTGTTTTCTACAGTATTATATAAAACACTTCAATGCATTAAATGGGAAGTTACTCAGTAGCATGGTAACAAGGGCATGTTTTCTGCCCTTCAGATTTAGCTGTTTTGGTACAAGCTGCTTGGTTTTGTTTGCTTGTTTTCATACAGTACATTGTTATTCATCCGTCATACTGTAAATTCAATTTTAACTGAAATTGATTTAACTTCTTCCAAACATTTTCAGAGTAGGATCTGGAGCATATGAACAAGTGGTGATAAAACGCTAAGCTAGAATGACTTGACCAGAAGAGGAAAACACAGAACTCTAGCAGCAACATTCTAATTCACGTTTCTTCAACTGCAAGAGTTGTGAAAGCCAAGAGGAACTTTGTATGAACCTGTTTTGGAAAAAGTATTGGAATGTCTCTTGCTCAGAGAGCTTTATCTTCTATGATATCAAGGCAATGTCTAGATGTCTACATGTTGTGCAAGTACTTGGACTGTTTTTATAAGCTGTACCTGATGTTAAAGTGAATTACTTTTAAGTTCCATAAATTGTTGGAAGCATGACTAAATGGGTCCTGTTTCAATGTTTTACATAGCAGGTCACATGTAGATATGTGCCCTGCAGCTTCTTTTCTAAAGAAACTTCAAGAAGTCATAAATGAGCCCATAGAAACAAATTAAGACTCAATTTGGTCCTACCTTATGAAAGCCTTGGAAAAGCTACCTCTTTCTATCAAGTCAAAGCTACTATCATGTGAAGGTTATGGCTTCCCTAGAGCTCTGCTTTAAACAGGCAAAAATCTTTTCTGAAAAGTACTGAATATAACTTCATTTTAAGGATGAAGAGTGGATGTGAAACTCACATGCGTTAAAAAAAAGACTCCATAGATGTATATCATCAGCCAGTAATAGGCTGTGTTAATTGTAATTGATATTTAGATGCTTACATGTATGAAATGCACTATAGGAGTGACAAAGCAAGTAGGATATATCAAAATACCAGTGCACAGCAGTTATTATCAAGAATGCTGGTTGTTTCCCTTCGGATTGTTAAGGACGGAGTTCAGAAGCCCCTTACACAGAAACTTACTTCTGTGCACAAGCCTCGAGATTCAATGGGATGGGACCATTTACAAACCTCATCAGTAGTTTACTACCACTTTCAACTTTTTATTGCAGCTTAACCCTCCTCAGTGTTTTTCTAGTGTTAGAAGGTGCCTTGAGGGGATAGGGAAGGTACAGAGATATTAAACTATTTACTAAGCAATTCAAGATTTAAAACTACTACCAGTATAACTTATTAAGATAAGCACTTTATTGTAGAGGTATGCTACGCTCTTAAAAAGAATTTCTGTGCAACAGATTTGCCTTTTCATGTTGAACACTTATTCCGTCACTATCTGTCCACTGTAACATTAAGGACAATGGACTCTACTTACGTTTGTGCAGATGGTGATTTGCCTGCCAGATGAGAAAGATGAATGAAGAAAGAAAATTATGAAAAATTTTGTTAAGAATTTTGAAAGAATCCATATTCCCAAAAATGTAGTTCTGATGACAGTTTGGGCTTGGATCTGCTGTATTTTTAATTGCTGACTTGCATTTTGTTATGACTGATTGTATTATTAATCAATAATTATTAAAAAATAAGCGATACAAATAGCATGACCATTTTTAGAAAGCTCTGAATGCTTTCAATTCATCTCAAACTCAAGTTTGACATCCTTCTGAAGTATATGTAGGCCTTATTTAATTGGTTTAATGAGGGAAAATCAAACTTTGTTTTCCAAATACACTGTGGTTATCAAACTCACTTGGTTTTAAGGAAGTTTTGGTGTTTGAAGTGTGAGTAGTGTTACTGAATAAGATGAATTAATTATTTCTCTATTATGGTACTTCAACATATTTCCTGCTGTAAACTATAATCTAAACATTTCTATGGGTAAAAAGAATTAATGCAAATATATTCTAGCTGCTGTAAGTGTGATATTATCTAAAATTTCATTGGAAAAATGGATAAACAGACAATACCTAATTGCAAGTATACTATCAGAGCCTGATACTTTCCTAAAAAAAGAAAAAAAAGCAGCCACAACCTACTGCAAGCCAGAAGATGCATGGAAATTGCATTATGTTGCTTTCAGTACTTGTAAACACTGCTATGCTTTTTTGACCAATCTAGTAGAACCATTAATAATTTCCTAGTTTACTAGGAAAATTAGGCACAGCTAGAAGAAATGTAAAAACGCTGTATAGCTACCTATGTAATTGTGAAAGGGAATTTCCATAGCCCAGATTTGTTTTCTATGTTAAATTCCATAGCTAACTGTCCTAGATAAGCTATTTGTGTACTAGAAACCCATTATTTTCTTCCCTGGACAGACTTTTATAAATAGGAGAAAGTTTTACATGGAAATTGAGCTTTAAATAAAGCTGTGTTCTGGCATTTTTTTGTTCATCTTCAAGCTACAATTCTTAACCAAGTAATTCTTGAATTGTGCATATTTTAAATAGAACAGCTATTTTCTTTTTTGTAAACTATGCTGTAAGAACATTGAACACTCATGTTGTGAATTGTTTGGAATATGTTTTCTGGCTGTATTTAATGCCAATGTCTCGGACATACAATAAATGATATCTAAATAATACATATTCTTTGCAATATGGTTCTTAAAACTAAAAGGAAAGGAGCTCATGAATTAAAATAAGGCTGCACCACTGTTGCATGTAATATATGAAGAAAAAAATATAGTATTAGGAGAAACAATTTTCTTTCTGAAGGGAAAAAAGAAAAAAAGATATGAAACACCAGAACTGTGAATGCTATTAGTGAACACACAGGTATATTTTGTGGACCTTCTGATATGGACAAACAACAGAGGGAAAGGTGAGCATGGCTAAGAAATGAGTTTCTTCAATTCTTGCTAGTAAGTAATTTTCTGCCTTCTCCACACCCAACTGCTCATTCTTGCCTGCTTTCTTCTTCCTACCTGTTGAACCAGTACGACTGTCAGCAAAGGATTAGTTGACTGAACTCCTTGTATGACCGCACAGCAGGACCTACCAGCAAGAAGGGGAAAGACAAACATTCTTAATGCATTTCTTAACACTTGTTACCATTCCGTTCTTGTTAAAAGCATATCAAGTTACAGTACTTGTTCATTTTTAAGTGAATGGAAAGATACAAGCATGTTAGCAAAGAAAGTTTTGTCCAAATTCAGAGTTGTATAACCAATTTTAATTGTAAACATGGCACTACTCTGGGGTTTTTTTTTTGTTTTTTTTTTTTTTTTTTTGGTAGTCTTGTCTTTTGATCTACTAATGTTCCTCTGCTACCTTTGTTTAAGATGTGCTAGTGGCAGTGCATTTGATTTTGACAGTGTTCCAAGCAAATTGTTTGCTTACAGTACTACATAAGATGTGATTTTGTGTTTTAGGAAGCAAATGCAAAGACTTTGCATGAGAGTTTTTGTCATTACAGAATCTCATTCAGAAGCCTGTGTTTCTTCTATTCAGTTTAAATAGAAGAAAAAAAAAAAACAGGAAAGTACCCATAACTAGCCTTAATACACAATCCAACATAATGATCCAAGCCTCCTTAATCAAAATCATGTTAACAAGCACAGAGCCTTATACCTTTCATACCTGCCTGTGACAGGACTTGAACAGTTCAAAAATTTAGTAGCAATACTGTCTATTTGAAACAAGTCTGGGGAGATGGGCAATTAACTCCTTCAGGCTCATTGAACAAGACATTTTGGTTTTGTTTTGTTTCTAAAAGTTCACTATTTGTATAATTGATTTGTAGTACTTGCTCACTTTGCATCTAAAACAATGGTCAAAACCATTCTGTTGAGCTATTCTAACCAAAATCAATCCCTACTAATTTATTCAACAGCTGTCAAGTTATTTCCTTTATATTGTGTACTCCATTGTATTTTTTTTTGCCAGCCTTGGCTTTCTTTACTACCTTCTTTTTTCCTGTGTGCTTTCTTCACTTTCTCTTTTGTTTTTGATGCCAGAGCACACTGAACGCTCCTTCTGGGTCTGCTCTCATTTAAGCTCTCTCTCAACACTGAATGTGTCACCTTTACACCTAAGTAACACAGAATTGCAGAAGTAACTCAGATGGCTTTCACTGAGGTGCTTTTTTTTTTTTTTTTTTTTTTTTTCCTGCCAAATCAGTAAGATGTTCATTATTGTACTTGCTAGTTAATTTTTCTACAATCCTTGTGACACTAATAGTGTTCAAGTGTTTTAATTCAGGAAGTTCCTGCCACAGTTAACCATGGCTCCATATTTTTCCAGAATAAAGCATGTCCACAGTAATCTATAACTCCTTATAGGGCAACAGCTACATCTTCCCCACCAGATTTAAGCTAAGCTTGTTGCTTTAGCACATTCTAGCAGCTGACACTGAAGTCTATCAAACCTAATCCCAAGGAGCACCAAGACTAACGTACACCAGCTTCAGGATCTTTTATCAAAATGTCAAGAACTTATCTGCTTGAACAACCTGATGTTGTTAAGTTTCCAGATGCATGTGCCATCTCCTGGTCGGTAACATCACTACATGCAACTTAGAACATCTGATTCTCATAAACTTATTTTCATCATCCTGATTTCAGACAGCAAAATTGACGTTCACCAGTTTCAAATGTCAAGTCTAAATGTGCTACTATGAATATATAATCATCAAAAGTGCAATGTGATAGCAAAAAGCTGTGCATAATGAGTCCTGTGGGAGGCTTAACCTCATAGAAAGACCATTAATTCAATACTTTAAAGAAGACTTCAACACTGATTTAAGCAAATGTAAACCAGGAAAGCTGGCACACAAAATTGTGTAGCTTCTTTTAGTAAAAAAAAAAAAAAGCAGTTTCAGTTTAAATTTATCTGTTCCAAATAGGTTGTCTGTGTATGATAAGCAATATATTCTTCAATTTCAGTACACATGCATGTGCTACGGAACACCAAACAGATACAGCCAAGCATCTGTAGTTGCTCTTCATATTTTCCCCAGAAAAGGCATAAGAACAAATGTAAGAATTTATCTTTGTCAAAGTTGTCATTAAAAAAAAAAAAAAAAAAAATGAACCGTTTTACAAAGAATGGGGATTAGGAGTCATTAACCACTTATACACTGAATTACAGCTGTCTCTTTTCACGTCTTCCAAAAATTTAGAAGATATAATGTAGCCATCCTCTCTAAGAAACAGTACGTAGACCTTTTTTGGTTGGTTTTTAATTTTTCAGAAAGGTGTGAAACATCTTTCACAGGCATGAAATTAGTTACATTAATACTTGCTCATTCCAAGCCACCAAAGATACTGTGAAAGAGATACAAACCGCAGACTTGAACAACCTCTGGTGGCACAAAAATGCAGGTTTTCAAAACTGGGGCCAGGTTGGCATTCATGGAAAAAATAAAGTTGGCAGATATATTCTGAGCAGTTTAGGAATGATTTTATGGTTCCAGTTAGCATACAGAACACACCAATCTACAGCTATTAAAATCACTGCTTTCATTACTTACACTGAACTTGAAGTAAGAAAACCAATCTAATTCTCTTCATTTTCATTTTCAGTATCAAGCATCACAGCAGAACAATCACTGTTCAGTGTGACCTTGCCAGTAATAAGCCTGCAAAACTTCTCAAAAGTGCCACAGAGTTGATTTACTTTGGGAAAAGAAAAAATTTTTCTCAGAGGTATATAAACCACATTTCCACTGACAAACGGCTCCGTGCTTTTTTCAACAGCCAGTGTTTCAAAATCTTCTGAAAAACAGTTCACTGAACATTGTGGTTTCAATTTTCTCTCTGTAGGATCGTCATATTCTTCATGTTCTGACAGTAAATGGTCCAGCAGACTTCGCTTAATGATTTGTGCTCTGAACATAACTTCACCGACCACTGCATTCTGCAGGTACTTCTCATCTTTAAGGCTCGGATACACTGCTTTGAAGACCTTTACAGCATGCAGGAACACACAGAACACTTATTATTATCATAGATTCAGACTGTAAAAACTTGTCAAAAAAATTCCAGAATGCAAACATATTTTGATTCAATCCTGTTTCATTTTTTACGTTTCCAAATACAGAAAAAGTGCACAGTATGACTTGATTTCATGTGTTGCCACTGCAACAGCTGTTAGAAAAGTTAACATAACCTAAAAATAATAATAATACTTATTATATAAGTATATATAAATACTTTTATAGTTATAATAACAGATCTTGTACCTGCAAGTTGTACTCATAGATATAGCCAGGTAAAGCCCAGCAATTCCTTAATGCTTTCAATCCTTCCCTTACTTCTCCCATTCCTGATCATGAGACACTGGTGACAGTTTCCCAGATATGAAGGTTCTAAATTCTTCCAGAATCTGAGGTTGCAAATATGACTTTTGTTTTATTTTCAGAATCAATTGCAAGCATTTTGTCCTCAGATGCAGCAAACATTAAAAAAAAAACAAAACAAAACCAACACTGTGACATCAAAATCAGTGAACGCGTTTTATACTGAGGTATTCTGTACTGTGAGGGTGGTGAGACATGGGAACAGGTTGCCCAGCAAGGTATTGAATGCCCTCTCCCTGGCAGCACTCAAGGCCAGGCTGGATGGGGCTTTGAGCAACCTGGTCTAGAGGGAGTTGTCCCTGCCTATAGCAGGAGGTTGGAACTAGGTGATCTTAAAGGTCCCTTCCAACCCAAACCAGTCTATGATGCTATGAGTCTACATCCCAAGAGGTTAAAGAAATCAAGTAGACAACTTCATTCTCATTAGCTTACTATTAAGTGCTTTTTACAAAACACTACCAATGCTTCTGCTGAAGCATTCTCTAGAGGTGGTCAAGGCCAGACTGGATGGGGCCCTGGGCAATCTGGTCTAATATTAAATGGGGTGGTTGGTGGCCCTGCATATGGCAGGGGGGTTGGAGATTCATGATCCTTGAGGTCCCTTCCAACCCTGTGATTCTGTGAAGTTTGACTCTGTAAGTATTTATTACCTTCTGATTAGATCTTTAACTGCTGATATATTTGCACAGAATGATAACAAAAATTTGACAGTCACATTTTTCATAAGAAACAAGATATAACATTCCCCTTGTTTAAACTCAAAGGGTATTGATGTCAAAACCCACTACATAAGATTCTATGACATACCATAATGAAAGCAATTTCCACTATATGGCAGTTACTTGAATTTATTTCGAGATTTGTCTGTAGAGCATTAAAGAGCACTTTACAATTCTCTTAAGGACAGTAACTGAGAGTAAAGATTCAACTGCTTAGAACATCTTTATGGCTTGGAAACTACAAAAGACATTCCTATAAAATTGAAATATATTTCACTTTACAGGATGCTTACTCCTGTATACTTAAGCAAAGAAGTGAAATGTTAAAATATGTTCAGTGAAATAATTTAAGGCCTTGTAAGTTTGGGAAAACAAAATATCAGTGTATGTCTGCATTATTACTTAACGCTAACTCTGAAGGCAAGTATCCTTTTGATTATACTACAAGGCATTTAGACACATTAGGTTTTGTGCAACATAGCACAACGCAGCATTAGATGATAATCTTAGAAGGTAACCTGCTATCTCATTTTGGATTCTCATTTTCCCCCTCACCAACATAAGAGCACAGAAGCAAGTTGCTGAGACCAACGTCCCTCAGCCACGCAGAATGACATATACCTAAAACAATCAGTCCAAGAAAGACTGAAAAACAAAAACCAACCAGATATACACAAACCTTTCAAACAAAACACAAGACATTTTGTGCTTAAAAAATTAAAAAACCCCTACAACAGTAAACCAAAATTGCCCATACACTACAGGATAAGAATTTATGCCTTTGTAAAAAGCCAGTATGGGTTACCTAAAAACACTGAGGTTAGGGTGTAACAAATGCTAGAGATCATGACCAACAGCAAACAGGTCCTGACAATCCCACTTTAGGAAAAGGTTTAAGGCAATATATTTGACAAGGCTGTGCAATTCTCCAAAATACACTCTTTCATACACGTGCTTTTTGTTTTGCATGTACCTGAAACAGGCTAAATCAGCATCAGCAATCTTTACAGCCTTGATAAAATAACAAAAGATTAGAGAAACAATTTTAGCGTCAGAGTAACTGTAGCAAAGGAGAATCTTTATTATAGGGGTAACAGTCTGGTAAAATAAGAATTGTTATCCATGTTGCTAATTAGTAAATTATCTGGAAGGTAAGGGCCTTCATACAATTAAATACAAAAATCATGGACTCAGACACTTCTGAGCTGATTGGTGTGTGTTAACCAGAGCTAAGATCAGATAGCAACAGTAGACAACAGAAAGAACAGCTTCAGTGGCCGTTTGTATAAAGTCTTACATTATATTTGTCCTCCTAAATGAAGAAAAGGATACTTACGGTTTTGTAAGCTGCTTCAGTGGGTTTCTCACACTGCACAGGTTCTCCAGTTTGAGGATATTTTCTAACAAACACACCTATTTGGGTACAGAACCCGACGTCTTCCATTCCTGCTGGGGGGTTCCCTACACCTGTGAATTCCACTGAGTAATCATAGCGTTGAGCAGTACCTTGAGCCCTAAGATAGATAACATGTTCTGATCTTAACCACATATTCAGTCTTTTCATGTGATAAAGATGCATTCTCACAGATGAGAGAACGTGCCTGAAGATAAGCACTGTAAAAGCTTTTGCTGGATCACGGCGATGATCATATTCCTACCAAGCCTGAATCATTTACAGTCACAAATTTAGGCAACCAGAAATTACTGTTATATCTCACACAATACTCTCATGTTTATGAGTTTTGTTAAAATTCTTCCATTGTGCCATGATTCAGTAAACCATACTTAACTTTTGTCAACACACTCTGCTACTGGACTTACTATTTCATAAACCTGCTTGCATACTCTTACAGAAAGATCCAGAGTAATCAAGCACGTTGGTTACATGCCATACATTACTGAGCACACTTTTAGATTTACATGAAACATTTGCACAGCAGGGCAATATTATGAGAAAATGCTTATTTTTAATACTTCACACTTCAAATACATTAACTGTAGTAATGATGTATAAAAAACAAAAGTTGTAAGTATTTTTCCCAAAGCAGTTAAAGAAAAAGCAAACCAACTTATCACAAAAGACAAAACCAAGAGAATGTGCTTAACTACATGAAACAGCAAAGCAACAATTCACCAAATAGGTTGGCATGAAACTCTTGACAGCAAATCACACGCACAAACCTCTGTGAACATGTTTAGCCATTCCACTTTCCCAATACTTAGTATTCAAAGCTGTCTGCATATGATATTTAGTAAACTCACCAACTTTGAAACTGTGCTCGGTCCCATTCAAACTTGTGGTCTGGATGCCTGAAAACAGTCACTCCTGGAAGCAATGCGTTAAATTCTGAATTTGGAGTACTGATCACAACCATGCTTGGAGCCATGAAACCAAACACCACTTCAGGAAACTTCTCTAGTTCTGATTCTTGCAGGTGCTCTATTCTAAAAAGGTAAATTTACACATCTGTAAGAAGACGTAACTGCATTTTAACTTTCTTAACTTTCTGTTTGTTAAAAACAAAGAAAGAACACACATCTGTACTTTTTACTTTTAAGTGTAGGTCTGGAACATTAGCATAGCTGACTGGCAACTTCAACTTTTTTTTTTTTTTTGTCTTAGAAGACCTCCTCTTACATTTTAACTCCTCCATGCATCTCCTTTTGCCACCACATGGTAGCACCACTTAAGTACTAAGTACTAAGTTAATTTTGACAGAACTTAGAAAATGCTACATTTTGCTTCTCTGATTAAGAGGCTTGATCAAGTATCTCTGGAGTACAGACAAAATTCTAAAGTAAATCCTGATGAGTTCAGAAAAATCTGGTGTTGGTCTAATACTCACAGTTCAATGCACGTTACCAAGTCAAAACCAAGCATGCAGGGATCTTTATGAGCAACTGAGCCTTGATGCAAAGTCACAGTTAAGGATCGCTCAGATGGCTCCAAATAATCAGCAGGAAGAGGAGTTAACCTGTGCCTTCAAAAAATAACCAAAAAAAGGTTTAAAGGCATAATACCACAAAAAGGACGTTAGGACAGATAAATTTTGCATGCAACTCTACTAGCAAATACCCTACTTAAATACTTAACTCCAAAAGTTAAGTCATTTTACAGGGGAAAAAAAAATCCTAATACACATCTTTTTTATAGTCATTATAGTCTTTTTTTATAGTTCAATAGGATGCAAAGTGCAGAGCTGATCCAACAGTTGTCCTTCTCCTTTACAAAAATTTACACTATTTTTAAGACACTTACCCGAAGAAGATACTGTAAATTCTGATAGTAGCTTAACTCTAGAAATGCAGTACTTCTGTTTTACACATGCTTTACAGAGTCTGGGGAAAAGTTTTGAAGTATAAACTTTTTTTCAAATAAATGAGATTGAAAACTAAAATATATAAGCAAAATTTGATCTGAAAAACTACATCAGTCGAAACGCAAATCAACACTACACTTAAAAAGGCTAGTTTTCTTCATTCTTGAGAAAGAGCAAATGACAATGTCAGCATCTATAAACTACATATTTACTGAAGCCATATTAAGCTTTCAGTTCAAATTAGCTTTGAAGAGAGACTTTGGTGCTCCTCCAAATCTGCCCTGTGCTTCAGGGGCCACATGAGTTAGAAGTTGTAGAGCTTTCTTAATCACAAAACTGAGTCAACCTCCCATTTCAATAAGGTGATCAAAAATGAAGACCCATAAAAGACACAGTTACACGCTCATTTCAAGGAGGATCAGACTTGCATACAACAGTAACGTCACATACCAGTATAAACAGAATAACAAACTATAGACAGTGCTCCTATACCTTTACAAACAGCATATTTCTCAGAGGCAGACACCTTCAGGGCCATGACCCAGACATATGCTGCATTAGGTGATGTTACAGCCCAACAATTCCCCCAGGAAATCTGATTCAGCTGGCACTGAAACCAATTAATAATGGACTGCTCTACATTTGCCAACTGGTATTTCTGCATTTACCCTCATTTTGAAATTGTTATTAATAAATCGTGCCGCTAGGTCAAATCAAACAAAAACCTTAAATTAAGACAATTCCAAAGCTTACATTTTCTCTTTCATCACAGCTGCACAGATATCTAGCCCAGCTAACACTTCAACGCAACCACAGAATTTCAGCATCCAGAGAAGTGTACAGTCAGCACATCCTAAATCTGCCACCTGTAAAATAGATATTAGTAATATAGAGCATTTGCATATTAAATGATTTGAGACTTCCATAAATATATTCTGTATTTGTAACAAAAACATTTTAGTAATAAAATAATTAATAATCACAACTATTCAAATGAACTAGACAAAGTTACAACGTATTTCAAAACATGAGAATTCTTCAAAATGTTTTAAAGTGAGGCCTTTTGATATTACAGCTATAAACAAGCAAATGTACAGCACCCCAGTAACTCCAGAGAATGTCTATGAAGGCATATGCCCTCAAACAACAAAAGTGCAGGAGTGGTTGATGACCAGACCTTTAGGATGGAGAAAAGTTGGTCTATCATAACTCTACACTCTGAACTTCTCAATTAAGAGCATCCATGTGAGGAATGATGTAAATCCGATACTGTACACGAACCTAAAAGCTCCAGAAGTTTAAAAACAAAACAAAAAACACTACAATGACAGACAATTGATCCAAAATCCTCAATGTCAAATCAAGACCAGAATGCTACCTGCTCTCCTAGATAGGCTAAGACACGTTTTCTTCTTTGTATTTTCCTACTGCCCATAAATTTACAATAAATTATATTCATGCCTGAGAAACATCATCAAATGTCTCTTAAAGCAATTTGTTTTTAACAGTAGCTTCTCCAGTAGCATTGATATCTAATTAGGTCACCAGATTATCTAATCATTTCCTGCACTCCAGAGGTACCTAATATTAGCTATTTTTTTTTTACATTTATAACACAAGAAGACAAAACATACCAACCTTTTTTGGTTTGTATTTCCTTACTAAATCTTTAACAAACTCATAGCGTTGTTTGTATAATGGTGGTGTGAATTTAATCTCGCCAGTAAACTGCCTTCCTTCAAAGTTCTTACCCATAGTATTTCAGTAAGCCTAAAAATACAGAAGTTAACTCATTATTTTAAGTACTCTACATCACATCGAAGTTCAGAATTGGCTATCGTCAGCAGTGCTCAAGTCTCAGTTAAGAAGAGAAAGATCTGATCGCTAGCATTAGCAAAAAAAAAAAAAGGCATTAGCAAAATTGTGCTATAAGTACTTCATGTACAACTGCTGAATCACAGCCTGAACCACTAATTGAGCACGTGGGAAAGGACGCGGTCAGCCCTGGAAGCACAGGTGAAGGCAATTCAGCCTTCAGTGTGACCGGAAGAAGTGGAGCCTGGCTGCACTTCTCTTAGATCTCATTTAAGGGCTGACTGCCCTTTCTGGAGACCTTCTTGGTGAAGCTTTTCCTTGCAAACCTTGAATCTTTTGACAGGGGTAAGTAATCTTCCTTTATAGTATCTATCTTGCCATTTCTTCTATCATCACAACTTTATTGTAATACCTTTCCTATTATACTTATCTGTCCAATTGCTACAGTATACAACCTTTTTAGTAAAACCATTTTTACTTGCATACAACTCTATCCTAAATTATGCTTGTGTTATGTTGACGTAACTACAACTTTACCTTGCACTGCTTTTCCAGCAAGTACAAAACAATAGTTTCTCACTCGCATAGCTGTTTCCTTTTTACTCATCTATGGTTTGATTTCTCTTACTATTCAGATGGTTGTGTGTGCATGGCTCCCTGTGAATTCTGCAACACAGTGAGCAGCAAGAGATGCCTGGAAAAGCATTACATCACTGAAGAGGACTGGTTTTGCTGGGCTTAAGCTTTATAATAACATAGCACTAGAGTCACAACCATCAGCCCACCTCCAACTCTCACATCTTGCAAAAACAACTGTGTTTCAGCACATGAGAGCACTTAACAAGCAGTAGTTCCCACTAGACCTAAGAACAAGGCCCTGGTGAATGAGAAACACAATGCAGGCAACCTGCTGGCTGGAGAGCCTGTGTAGGAACTGGGTGTGGGCGCACTCCTCAGCTCCTCCTGCCTTCTCAGCCCCTGTGCAGCTGGCCTGTCTTCAGCTTAAAGGCATTTTGTGTTTTGCAGGGTGTGTTCCAGACATAACATAAATAGTCAGCAGCAAGCTAACTGTGTTGTTTATTGAATAGCTAGGAAATGTATACAAGGATGCTTGCAGACTGACTATCCTAATGGTTTCCTAGGCATCTCAAGTTATTGGAATGACTGCCTTCTACTATATTTGAGCTTTGATTTTTTCAGGCTTTTGGCACTTATTCACTGTCCACATTCACTTCTGGTTTGAGTAGCAGATATGGGGAGTTGTCTATAATTTCACAACTCTTTCCAACAGCGTAATTAAGGTAGTTTAAGAGTTCATAAACTAGAGTTGGAATTGCAAAGAGATTCTAAAAAGCATTGCATTGTATCCAAAGTGTACTTATGACAGCAATTCACTTTAAAAAATATACAAATGATGTGACATACCTTATTTCTTTTCCGTTTTTGGTTGTAAAGTTTGGGTGGAAGACTGGGTCTTTCAAAGATTGGCAGTGTGGAAGAGATGGAGGACATCATTAACCATTTCAAGCTCTGTGTGTTTGATCTTTTTCTCGCTGAGAAAAAATGTTTAGAGAAGTTTTTCTGCTTATTCCCTACTATATCAGTGAAATTTGTGTTATTCTCACAGTGCAGCATTTCTCTTATTTAGTCAGTTCAAAGTTATTCCCTGTCCTTACCCAGTGATAAATCTACTTATCCTATGGTTCCTTGAGACTGTTAATTTATACTGGAAGGGACCTAGAGAGGTTACCTAGTGCAGTCCTCTGCTCAAAGCAGATCAAAGTTGATCTGAGTGGGTGGCAATCCTTCCCAACACAAGGGGATGGAACCAGATGACTTGTAAGGTGCCTTCTAATCCAAGACATTCCATGAGTCTGTGATTGTTCTGAGAACTTCTGGTCAGAGGAATTTTCCTCATTTCAGTTTAAAATTGCAGATTGCATATTGAAGGTTTATTCAGTTCAATAAGCTCACAAATTAAATGCACTATTCTTAAATTAATCCCACTGTACCATAAAGAAAACAATTATATAGCTAGTAAAAGAAGTGAAAGCATCTTACAGTAGAAAATAATGCATCAAGAAATCCTAAACTGCTGAAACTTATTTAATGCTTCAGCGATTGGGATGAGAAAAACAACTGTATGCAGAACTTCATTTTAATGTTTAAATACATATAATTAAATATCACACAAGAAAGGTAATACAGCACCACTGCCAGAAAACACTGCAGTCTTAGAGGAAAGCTGAATCCCACTGTAATTCAAGAGCTAAGAATCAAATGGCACTCAGAGGATGTTTTATGACTGAACACTGTCACTGTTCTCCTTACCTTCAACTAATAGATTAGGCCTGTTCTGGAAATAAATCTGAAATAAACTGTGTGAATGAGAAGTGGGCTCTTACACATCACTATCATCTTCCTTTTTTACATTACTTGTATTTCCTTACTTTTTGCCAGTCAAAAGCACTTCCTCCTTGCTGTTTTTTTTGCTTTTGCTCTGATTGTCTGAAGACAAGCTTGGGTACCTAGGAAAAGAAAAACCAGTTTGAGGTGAGGGGATCAACAGGTTTTAGGTAAGTGTACTGAAGTTTGTCGCATCAGCAAAGAGGGACTGTTTCACAAAAACGTGAACTTACAGAGGAAGAACATTGAGTTTTTGGAACATATTGACTAAATGTTCCAACAGGAAAAGAGAAATATGTGAATAAACAATTTGGGTTATATAAATGATAACAAGCACAGGCTGTCTTCAAGTGATTATGCAAGAGAAGTTAAAGCTAAACAAGATAAAAAAAATCTTTCAAAATGAAGCTGTGACCCTAGCTTGCTGTGTGCAGAACACGATTATTCATTGCTGTTACTGCATTACTCATTTTGCATTTATTTTTTTCAATTTTTTATAAGATTAAGTGCACATTTACTGGTGAGCAACGACGATAAGGGCAGCAGAGCGCTGTGGTGAATCAGGGCGGTGCTGCACGCTGTGGAAAGCAGACCGACATGAGCTGGCGGTGTTCCTAGTAGAAAAGTGCGGCCGGATCGTACGGCCAGCACGTGGGAGAAGCTGCCTGCTGTCACGGCGCGACAGCAACTCGATTTAAGCTAACGGTGCAGACACCGCGCGAAGGCAGACTACGAGTCCGGGGAGATGAGCTGCTCTTCCTAAGGTCTGACCATTCAACTGCTTTCAGAAAGGCGCGTTCGCCCGCAGCTCAGCCGGCAGGCGACGGCTCCCGCTTAGAGCCCGGCCCGCCCTCACCAACGGGCCGCGCACGCGGCGGCAGGGCGGGTTTTCGGCCACCGGCAGGCGTATGCGCGCCGCGTTCGGCGCTCGCAGGGCGCGGGCTGTAACCCGATGCCGTCGGCCGCCCGCCCGCCGCGAGGCTGTCGGACGGGACTCGCGAAGCCTTTCTTTCGCGCCGCGAGGCGGCGGCGCTCCCCGCCTCCTGCCAGGCGGCTCGGGCCCGGCCCTTCCTCGCGCGACCGAGCGCAGGCGCGCGGCTGCGCTTCCCCGCGGGGATTGGCCGGCTCGGGCCCGGAAAGCGCGGCCGTCACTTCCGCCGGGGCCGCCATCTTGTCGGCAGTTGGCGGAGGCAGCGCCCGACCCGGCAGCCCGCGCTCCGTTGTGGCGCGGCCGTTCGTCCGCCTCGTAGGCCGCGTGCCGCCGCCCCTCCGCGGGCCCCGCCGCCATGGCCAACAACGGCCCCGCCGTCGGCGCCGGTAACTGCCAGGGGCAGCAGGCGGTCCAGCACCAGCCCGGCGCGGTGCCGCCGGCCCAGCAGCAGCTGCAGAGCGGTGCTCCCAAGCCGGCGGCCTCGGGCAAGCAAGGCAACGTGCTGCCGCTGTGGGGGAACGAGAAGACCATGAACCTCAACCCCATGATCCTCACCAACATCCTCTCGTCGCCCTACTTCAAGGTGCAGCTCTACGAGCTCAAAACGTACCACGAAGTGGTGGACGAGATCTACTTCAAGGTGAGGCTGCGGGCCGCGGCCTAGACTCCGCGGGGCGCTGCTGGCGCCTGCCCCGAACCGCCCGGCCGCGACGGCTCGGAGCGGGTGGGCGGGGACTGCGGCCTTCGCCTTCTGCCTTTCTGCGGGGTCCCCCTCCTTTATCCACTGGGAGGGATGGCAACGCGTCTCTTATTGCTTAGTTAGAGGGTTCGAGATCTCTGTCTTTCGGAAGAAACGTCTCTCCCGTTCGTTTAGCGTTGGGGAGTTGCGAGTTTGCTTTGAGATGGGCAGTTGGAGTCAGGGCAGAGGGCGTGAAATGGCCGTCCGAGGGCTGCGCTCTGAGACGGAGGGTGGGGAGGGGACCCGCACTGCGTGCCGCCCCTGAAGACAAACGAGCAGCCTCTGCAGCCCGGGAGCCGCCAGCCCCGTATGGCTGCGCCAAAGGCATGGCCCCGGGCGCGGGTGGCTGCGAGGGGAGCTGGCCTGTGGCTCTTTCCCGATTAGAGCTTAGTACTTCCTCACCAGTCTTCTTCCCGGTCAAAAACGAGTTAGTTATGGCGCTGCTCGTGGCCCTGGGTTGGATGTGCTGGGAAGAGACCTGCATCAGTGTGCCCACGGGTCAGTTCTTGTTTTGTTAGCGGGATTGACCGTTCTCCCTGGTTGAGGTATGCGTAATTAATGCTCATCAGCACAGCTTCGGTTGTTCCGATAGCAAGAGCACAACTCGGATATTTTGGGCTGCAGTTATCAGCCAGCTGTATTTGGGAGATTATGGGGATATTTTTCTCAGGTACGTTTGGACTGCTTGGTAACATTACTGTATCACTAAGCTGATTTTAGTACTAAACTAGTCACTAAACTGATTTTTAGTCTTCAGAGGAAAAATAAAGCTGTTTAACCCCAGAGTAAGTCAAGTCACTGTAACTGGAAATAACTCTGCAGAAGTGTTTTGAAATATTTGGCATTGTTTGCCCATACTTACAAGGGTAGTGTGCTTTTCCTCTCTACGGTGATGCTTTTCTGCTTGACCTGTGGTGTTGTGAACAGATTTCTGATTTCTTCTAGTACTTGGAGTTGGAGTCTGTTTACCATTTGCTGCATGTGAAAGAAAAACCATGTTCTATCAGAAAAAAAAGCAGCAAAGTTTATTTTTGCAAATGAAGTCAGGAACTGAAAAACTGATAGATATTCGGAGTACATTGGAGAACTTGCATGTATTACGTGGATCTTTTCAGACGCAGTCCAAAAAAACCAGTTGATGTGATTAATCTTTGTATTGGTAGAGTTCAGCTGCAGTAGTTCAGCTAGTTCTGTGTTAGTGTTTCATTTTTTAAATGGCTTCATCTTAAATTGGAGAGGAGTGTTGACATATAATTAAAAGTCAACTTATTAATCCAGTGTAAATACAGTTTGTCTACTGAGCTTGACAGTTATTTTTCCTTACAAATAAACTCTAAAGGGGAAACTCAGATCCTTACTTACTCATGTGTGATAGATATGAAGAAGATGGTCTGATGGTGAAGGTACTTCAGTGATATTTAGAAGGTCTTAATTCTGTTCATATTTTAAGGTTCCTGAGTAATGTTGAGTAATTGCTGACCTTTTTTTTTTGTCTTTTTGGAGGAATGCAATATCTGCCATACACTTTCATATGTATTTGTTTTGGGAATATGATTAAGCAGCTCATTTCAGAAATTCAAGAATTCGGAATCTTGGAGTCTCAAGACGAATGTTCTGACTTGACACAGGCAGCTAACCATAGGGCTTGTTGTTGAACATACAGATTCTTTGTAGATATTTGAATTAATTCACAAGTAGCTTAAGTCCTGTTTGTTTTAGTTCTGGATCGGTGAAGAAGGTGACTTCCTCTTTCTTCCTTTTTGATTTTATGTCCTTATGCGTGTCTTCAGCTTCATGTACTCTGTGTGCTTCCAGACAAGAGCAGCACATGTAGTAGACTTTGTCAGAGTAAAACTTTAAGTATTCTTTTCTGAAATAAGTATTATTTCTGGGGCTTTTTATTCATGTCTGGGGAAAAAACAGCATGTTTATATTGAAAAATTAGAAGCTGCTGTTGCGATAATGTCGTATTTGATCCTTTAACTAAAGTACTTCTATCTCCCGTGAGAGGCTAAAACAAATAGTGGGAAGGATATACACTCTTATTTATGTAATATTTCTGAAATTTGCTGACAGTGCTGTAATATGGAAACCTGTGGTGGATTTTCCCCAGTATTGTTTTCTTATGTTTAGCATTTGGCAAAGACAGTAACAGTCAAAAACAGTCAAGCCTCTTCTTTCATCCCATGTTACATCTCTGATTTCAAGTAATTGTTTACGTAGCAGGTTTCATTTCATACTCTGGTAGAGTTTTAATACCTGAATGGCAGTACAGCTTGGCCACTAGCACACAGTCCCATGTAGCACTGCTGAATTTTTGTCTTATTTTTTTTTAAGTTGATGTCTTTAGGAAATGTCATTCATTGACCCAGATGTTATTCCTCTGAATTTCAAATGCAGCGTGGGCTGTTTGTGACTCTTACTGTCATCTGTAGGGAATGATGTTAATGACGTTTGTACACTCATCTCAAAGTGCATCTCAAAAGATTTGAATTGGGCAAGTTTTACTCTTTATTACCTATGAACCGTTTTAAGAACATCACTGCAGTTTACAGGGAAAATAACACTTGCTTTTAAAGTGTTTGCAGTATCAAATATAAGATGCTTTCTTTGGCTTGTTCATTTTTAACTCTGTGATTTTGGGTAATGTAATTTAAAAAGCCAAATGCTTTGTTTTAGAGACAAAGCAGACTTGATCTTGAGTTTCTGATAAGACAAGCTGATCAAGACTGATTTAGGCAATCCATTGTTTAAATCAAATCTGTATACATAGCTAAACATTATGGGTGTTTATAATTGTTCCTTTTTTCTTTGATTTTCCCTTCCCTGCCCTTTCAGGTTACGCATGTTGAACCATGGGAAAAGGGGAGCAGAAAAACAGCAGGCCAGACAGGAATGTGTGGAGGGGTAAGTAGAAGTACGTGCTGCCTTAAGTTTTTCTGTTTCTGGTAGAACAAAGTTTCCAAGCATAGCTCAGATTTGCTTGTATGTTGGCTCAGTTACTACATGTGAAAGTATTTATTACAAAGAGTTGATATATTCCCCTTGCTTCCAAAGGAGATGAAACTGTGGAGGCAAGTAGCATTACTTTTTTCACATAGTCCTGTTAATAGAGTTAGAGTTAGCCTGTATTAGTGATGGTGTTTGTTTGTTCCCGTTAACTTCCTGGTTGTCACTAACATTTTGTTCTTTTAAAGGTACGTGGTGTTGGAACTGGAGGAATTGTGTCTACTGCCTTTTGTCTGCTCTATAAATTATTTACACTGAAGCTCACCCGTAAGCAAGTGATGGGCCTTATTACACATACGGACTCTCCATATATTAGAGCTCTTGGATTTATGTATATTAGGTAAGTGTTAATACAACCAGCTGATGGCTGATGTGATACGCAGAAGGCTGCATTAAAGTTTTTCCATTCTTTTTGTACTTAAAGGTACACACAGCCACCTACAGATCTATGGGACTGGTTTGAATCCTTCCTTGATGATGAAGAGGTATGTCGGCGAGGGTAATAATTTATTTTCTTTTGTTTCTTTCCATGTTACCACTTTAGAACTTAAAACTGTTTAATAAGATTTTCTGTAGTTTGATGCTACAAGTTTTTATTCTTGTAATTTCATTTATTAGTGCAGGAAACAGATCTGAGCTGGGACCTGGATCATTTTTCTTTGATTTCAAAGATATAATGAAATTTTCAATTGATCACTGTGGTTTTTTGTTTTTTTTTTTTTTTAATTATAACATCATGCAAAACAAGTTGATGAAATCACAATGTGGACAGTAAGCTTTATGAGTGCATTTTTTAAAGAAAAAAATTATATTTAAGCTATAGTACGTGCTGAGAGTGCTGATTTTGCCTTTTGCAAATACTGCTGGGACAGGAGAATTGGTACTCGCGTAGAAAGCAGTGTTAGCCTAAAAAGAAATACCTAAGATCTCTGTAAATTTTGGAATATAAAGAGAATATTTTTTGGGAGGAGAAACAGCTAGATTTCTGCATTAAGTGGAGTTACTAACATTTTTTGACAGTGAAATGCATCATGAGGTGCTGACATGGGAATTTCACTGAAGCGGATGCTTTAGTGTGCAGTAAGATAGGAGAGTGTCTTTGCTCCTGCTTACTGTCGGGAGAATCACAGTAGAAACCTGTGGATGAGGTTTTTAGGTACATCAAGGTGAATATTGACTGTTACATAGTGTTGCAATTTGTATTGGTGGAGCAGATTGTAAATTGTATCCTGGGTTTAAGAGTTGCACAGGAGGAATCCCTTGCACTCTTCAGTGCCACAGTTGTTAAGTACTTCAAGAAAATTCAATTGATGTCCAAATGCCCGTATTAAGAAGCATTAATTATATCTATAACTGCAATACAGTGCATTTTTAAACAGTTTTCTTTCATGCCAAGTATCAAAAGCACTAAGCAAAGGAAAGTTATTTCAGGTAACCTTGTGCTATTGTACGTTTTTAACAGAAAACAAATTTACATTTTGATTACATAGCTGTTGATATCCTCATTCTCCCCTAGATGGTGCTACTAGCTAATGTAAGCTGTGTTATAACTTAAGAGTAAAATTGGGGCAGCGTTGTTTTCAGGGTCTGATGAGTAGCTTGATTCCCTGGACAATAAACAAATCACAAATGTGATTCATTGTGCAGATCTTAACTGGTTTATTATTCAGAGTACCAATTTTAGTTCATACGCTTTAGTCCTTACAGTTCTTGGTTATCAGAGTGTATTTGTTTGTTGTTGTTTAAAATGATCCAGAGTATTTTTTGAATTAGTGTTTGATTCCCAGCTCCTTTCAGTAGCATCGTGTTACCTAGGGAAAAATTGCTTGGGGCTGTTTTAAGTTGCTTAGCCCTAGTCAGACTCATTGGATGAAGCAAATTTATCTGTAAATTTAAACCTACCGGATTTTTTCCTCCAGTTCTAAAGTATGTGGAAGCACTTCATCTTTTGACATGCTGCTGTGAAAATGAAAGACTTCTCAGGATACACAGCTACTTTTCAAAATGTTTCTTACGTTTATTTTGTTAACTGTACGTACTCTCCAGGTGCTACGTTTAACTCATTTTTTTCTTCTTTAGATCTCTGCAGCGATTATATTTGGAAATACTGTATATCTGAACACTTAAATGTGTGTGAGTGCAAGCAGTTTTACATTTAGATTTTCTCTTCCTGTTTAGATAACAAATCTCACTTTCCTTGTGTGCTTGCACTATAGGTTTGGGACTGACAATAGCTGACTAACATGTCCTGAGCTGTGAGAGGGCATAGCAAGAAGGCCTTCATGCGGTAATGACCCTTTTCAGAGACAATGGTCATCATGGATTATGCGTTTCCAATTATTTGTTCATTTATTTATTTTTTTACATATTTCTAAATTAGAAACCTCACTGCTTCATGGCAGTTGGTTTGCTATTGCTTCCAATATTGTTAGGATGCCATTTTGTACTACAGATTTTTCTATGATCATTTTTAGATAGGCAATGATATCGTTCTTAAGTGATTTAGGCCACAGGGTTGGGTATGATGTTATGCAGTTGTGCATCCACAAAAAGTATTAAATGTCGTTTCAGAGAACTTCTCAACTTTGTGGCATTTATATAAAATACAAGATCATACTGTATAACCGGACTGTGTAAGGGGATTTTGTGTTAATCTCTGCACTGACAGTCCCTTAGCATCCAGATGGTGCAGGATTAGTATGTTCCTGCATGCACATGTACTAAGTCCCACTCCCTGTCTGTAACATACTGCCAAATCCAAAGGGTGCGGAGTTAAGAGTTTTTCTAAGGAAATATATTAGAATAAAAGACAAGTAAACTTACATAATCGTGAGACTTCAAGAGGGCAGTAATGTAGCAGCATTTTTTCTTAAATAATTAAAGAGTATTTTTGACCATCAGGATATTTTCTGTTTGTATTTTATAGGACTTGGATGTGAAGGCCGGTGGAGGCTGCGTCATGACCATTGGGGAGATGCTTCGTTCCTTCCTCACTAAGCTTGAATGGTTTTCCACATTGTTTCCAAGAATTCCTGTGCCAGTCCAGAAGACTATTGATCAGCAAATTAAAAGCAGACCCAGAAAAATTAAAAAAGATGGCAAGGAGGGAATGGAAGAAATAGACCGGCATACAGAACGTAGACGTTCAAGGTTGTATATATGTCACTTTGTAAATAAAGGTTGAAAGTTCATTGTTGAGTGACTTGCTATGAAGAACTAAGTAATCTTTTAGTAAGATGGCTTTTAGGGCAATTAGTTTATGGATGTTCGTGGATAAAATCTGACAATAATGCTCTCTTGTAGGCTACCTGTATTTAAGATGAAATACACGCTGTGTATGTAAAGCTAAATCTATTGTAGAGTAGACAGGTTCCCTTCACTTGGTAAACTGTTGTTTCATATTGAATACCCTTTATTTTAAAAGGTCTCCAAGACGATCCATCAGTCCCAGGAGGTCTCCCAGAAGATCCAGAAGCAGAAGTCATCATCGTGAAGCCCATGGGTCATCTAGTTTTGATAGAGAACTTGAAAGAGAAAGAGAACGTCAGCGATTGGAACGTGAAGCTAAAGAGAGAGAAAAAGAGAGGCGTAGGTCTCGAAGTACTGATCGTGCACTAGAAAGGAGACGAAGCAGAAGCAGGGAACGATATAGAAGCCGTAGTCGAAGTCGTGACAGGAAAGGAGACAGAAGAGATAGGGATAGGGAGCGAGAGAAAGAAAATGAACGCAGCCGGAAAAAAGAGAGAGATTATGATAAGGATAGAGGTAGTGAGAGAGAAAAAGATAGTGATCGGTCTAGAGAAAGATCGAAAGAAAGGAAAAGTAAAGGTGACACAGAAGAGAGAAGACACAAGGATGACAAAGATGACAAGAAACACCGGGATGATAAGAGGGATTCCAAAAAAGAGAGAAAGCATAGCAGAAGTCGAAGCCGGGAAAGAAAGCATAGGAGTAGAAGCCGAAGTAAGAATACGGGCAAGCGCAGCAGAAGCAGGAGCAAAGAGAAATCAAGTAAGCATAAAGGTGAAAGCAAAGAGAAATCAAATAAACGAAGTAGAAGCAGAAGCAGGGGAAGAACAGATAGTGTTGAGAAGTCAAGAAAACGAGATCACAGTCCCAGTAAAGAAAGATCTAGAAAGCGTAGTAGAAGCAAAGAACGTTCCCACAAACATGATCACAGTGATAGCAAGGACCATTCGGACAAACACGATCGTCGAAGGAGCCAAAGTACAGAGCGAGAGAGCCAGGAAAAGCAACAGAAAAACAAAGATGAGACTGTGTGAACTCTTTAAGAAGTGGATCACATTGAATCCTATAAATGTTTGATTAAATCCTGCTTATTTTTTCTTAAAGTTGAAATTGTGCAGTAGTTGATGAGCATTCTTCTCCAACCTCCCTCTAGGCTGCAGATTGTCATTTCCTATTCTGGGTAGGGAAGTGCCTTTGTAAACCCATTCAATACATTGACGGTTTCAAAACCATTTGTTTAGTTTAATTTGTAATCCAGAGATTGTTGCATTTTTATTGTTCAGATGTTTCTGAAATGTACAGTCTGTACATATGTCCTGAAAATGTTTTAATTCCTTTGGCGTGGTTGCCATGTTGGTTAAATTTGTATGAGGCAATAAACTGCCACTAATTCTACTTTCGTTTTGTAGATGTGGAATTATGGTTTGTATTATCCTGAAGTTAGCGTGGCTGTGCTTCACATAATAGCATGGCTTTTTAGGGATGGACCTGAGTGTGTATAATAGCTGAGATATTTATGTGCATACGATGTACATGGAGGGCTGCAGATTTAGAGTAACACTTATGTCCACTATACCTGCTGTTTTCAGAAACTTCTAAAATGTTTTTTGTTGATTACCACTGGTGTCAAGTTGGGAGTGGAATTCTGAGGAGACAGTAGTTTAGATGCAAATTTTTAGTTTATAATGGGCTTTTTTAGGACAGGATTCTTTAGAAAGGCTACCTCAGGCAAACACTGTAAATGGGTGAGTACTGTAGCCATCTGTGCATTCTGTCTGGGAGAAAAAAATACGTAAGGTTCTGATTTTGTTAAACACCATTTATCAATTTATGGTAATTTAATGTTGTTAATCGGCAGCTGCACTCTAAGTTATGATAATCCTGAGCTAATGAAGGCATTTCACATGGGAAGAGGGAGGTAGGAAGAAGAAAATCATTTCAAAAGATTTCAGTTTCAAGCTTCCAAAGCATTTTTATAAGTGTAAACATTTAAAATAACAATTACCTGATAGTGTCCTTTTTTTAAGTCATATTTTCTACAGATAGTAAGATTGCAGTTTGTGCTGAACATTTCATCTGGCAGATTTTTCTTTTTAAACAGGTTGTTAGGAGCAAAAACCAAAATGCGTTATAGGAAAAAAAATCGTGTCATTAAAGTCCAGGTCTATTTGATAGATTATTCTGACTTGTATTCTAAGTGAGAAGAACCGTCTGGAATAAACTCTCAATTAATTCCTTTGTATTGGGTCTCAGCTTTTCCCTGCATGTTTATTGCCACTTGAAGAGTGTTTGTGTTCTGTGATCTTTCCTTTGAAGACAAAGCGACACTTTTACATAAAAACCCCAGTCTGATCATACTGTGTAATATTTCATGTGAGTTGTGCAGAAAAACAGGTCTGTGTCAGCTGGAAAAGTAACCACAGTGGAGTATGAGGAAATGTTATGCCTTTTCCAAAAACCAAGAAGTCAATGCTAGTAATAACTGTCAGCTCAGCAGCAAAGCAAAAAAAAAAAAGAGGACGTTGAGTTCATAAATTAGCTCTCCAAGTTATCAAGGATACATGCACTTTTATCAAATAGGCATAACATAGAAGTCTCAAACTAGTTTTGAGTGCACCTGAACTGCTCTTTGTTAAATTTAATTTTTTTTTTCAGCCTTTACTGTTTTGGTATCCATTAGGTCTGGAACACTGCTACTGATCAGTGAATGTTCTGGAACAGTTTTCAGAACTGATTGCTTTACACTGAAAATTACAGTTAGAGATTACCAGGATCTCTTAAGTTAGGTGTATTTTATAAGCGATCTCATCATCAGTTGAGGCTGAAATTCAGTGTCCTAGATTAAATCTCCAGCTTCCCTCTTCCCAATCTTCAAGTATCTATGACTGTTGCAATTAGCTGTAGATCATCTTTCCAGCTTCAGGGAAAGGATATTTAGGGAGAATGATGTTAACAGTGTCAGTAACATCCAGGATAGTTGAAGTGAAGGAAAGTGGTGAAGAGGAAATGATCAACTGGGCGGGGGGGGGGAAGGGAGGAGGAAAAAAAGGCCAGCAGTGACTTCTTGCCATCCTTCTGAGACAAGGACAGTGAACTGCCCAGAAAGCTAGTACTTTAAGGAGGGGAGGAGTAATCTTAGATAAGAAAATAAAGTAAATGAGCAATGGAGAGTATCTTGATCTGTTTGTTTCGCTTCTGGCAGTAAGTAATAAAATTTTATAAGAAATACTCGAGGGAGTGAAAGATGGGATAGTGAATGAGGGAATCAATCAGTGTTGATCAAAGGAGTAGACAACATGAGGTAAACGTGGTGGACTTCAACAGATCAGTTATTTGGTAGAATTGATTAAGCTTATTGCTCTAATTCCAACAATTTTAGCAGAAGGAAAAGTCTGATTAGTACATTGCAATTCTGACCTGATAACTTACCTCCTCATCTGAGCCAGAATTTCCATCTAGACGTGTTCTGCACTGCTCTTCCCTCTGTATATCACTGTAACAATTCAGAAATTCACATAACCAGTTATGGAAAAGCAACTATCTAGTGAAGTGCATTCAGTGTTGTTTCAAGCCTTTTATATAGAGAAATGAAGCACAAGACTATCCTGTTGGATCCCTTGTGAAATAAAGTAGAATGGATTCAGGTAAGTCACATTTAGAGTAGCGACCTTGTTTAATTTATAACTGAATATGGCTGGGCTATAAAAGATAAGCCTGCCTTTTATTACGTATTATTAGATAAACAGTGAAAGTCATGCGACAGTGTAGAAGGCATGATGGTACACAGGCAACAATGCAGGTAACGGTGGTTTTTAATTATGCTTTGTAAGATGACGTGTGAGATGAACCTGCATGACTCTAAGCTTTGACTGTCAAATATGTACTATTTGCAACTTGGTTTTACACAGTGCTAACTAACGTGCTTCTGTGAACATGATCAATGGAATGAATGTACTGTGTTCTTACCCATTCCAACAGAGCTTCCAGAACAGGTTACTGAAATGACATGAAATGGTAGTACGAATGTTAAGTTTTAGGTTGTAGGCTGTTGAATGTAGTCCATGTTAAACAACTGTTCAATTGCATCACAATACAGTTTGATAGCGGATGAAATTTATGCCCTCAGAAAGGAATCACAAAGAAACTAGTACTACTTCAAAACGTTCAGTGCCCACTTGGGATTCGTTTCTAGAAGTTCTTGATCTTTTTTAATTAACTTCTGATTATAAAACCTCATTTATTTGCCCATGTATTATAAGCCCTGCTCTCCCAACTGAAAATTAACTTCTCTGTATTCACTAGAATCACCGGTTAAGTGTTAGTGATCCTTATGCAAGATCTGTGCTAAGAAAAAGCAACTTTCCTGTGCTTAATCTTGAAGTGTTTCTGAAGCCCATCACACATACTGCAGAATAGCATCCACAAAATTATTCTGGAGTGAGCACAATAGAAAAGTTCTGCTGCATGCTGCCTTTACTCAAATAACTTGATTACATTTTAACTATCTAGTGTGCATGAGGGAAAAAAAATAGCGTTCAAAAAATTTTAAAGATTTACCTGAATATATTTTTTTAGGACAAAAGGTGAGCTTCAGCCTCTTATCCGTAGCTGGAGATACTACTGCTGTGTAAACATCACCACAAGGTATCTCAGTAATATCACAGTAACTTAGACCTGAGCGAGGTGAACAAGTGAAATTGCCTTTTGAGCCACGTAAATCAGTAGTGTAGCTTATTGTTTCTTCAGAAGCTCGCCAGTATACCCGGATACCATTACTGCCAAGTCTATATAGCTTCACTCCAGAAGGACAGCAAGCACCTAGCAGAATAAGAAACACATCAGTACAGATGTCTGTAAAATACAGTATGTTCTAAATTCCTGTAGTGCCTTTTCACAGACAACATGATTACCAACATGTTAAATAGCAGCATTTCCTTGAGAAGTTACTTAACAGAAAACCAGAATAATCACTGAACAGTGCTAGGAAAGAAAATGCTCTCTCAGGCTCAAATTATGGAGCTGGAATTTAACTACTGTTTTGTAGTACTGGAATACTGTTCTTTCTACTTATTATGGAGGCAGTAACCTAGAAAACATTTTGTGGATTCTGGAATTTAATTATGCCATAGCATAATTAAATATTTGTTTCAGGAGTATTATTATTAAAGCTTCTTTCAAAGTTGTAAGAACAGGGTTTAAATAATATGTGAAATTAATTCTATGTGCTTTTATTTAAAAGAGGGTACTTGCAACTTTATTGAGTTTCAGTTGCATTACTTGCATTAGAGGAACGCTATTCAATTAAGCTGTATATTAAGTCATTTTCTCCTTAATTGCATTTATTGTTTACATACTGGAAGAATATCCTTGATATGTGCAATGGGATGTCAAACCAGTTTCACTGATGGCTTTCAGTGATACCGTGTAGTTGGTGCCACATGTGATGCATCCCAGGAGACAGTAGTTCTGAAGAGTGTGACATCTTGCCTGCCCCTTTGGAGACTCCAGTGTCGTTGTGTATGTGTGTGCACCCATTCCAGCAGACCAGGTGACGTTTGTTACCGACTGTGTCACTTGAGTTAGTGTCAGGTTGTTAGGGCAACAAGGAGCTTAAAAGTAAAATAAAAGTAGAGAGTTCATTTTTTTCACTTGGAAAACAAAGCACTTTGAAGGATTGCAACTAGAGCAGTGCATTGAGAGCAATGATAACTAGCATACTTTTCAGGCAAACCTTAGCATGGGGAAGATGACTCTGGCTCCATGTCTAGGATCTGATTAAGCAGGGTCCATCTCTACCTGTTAAGTCACGTGACAGTCGAGGTCTGCCTGTGTTCAAAGGTTTTTTCTCTACAAATCAAAGTAACTGTTAAAAACTGAACTGCCTATTTAAAATTAATCCTAAAATTGATCCTATCCTAAAATTGGCCTACATTAACCCCAGAACTGTGCTTTGTAATTGTCTGGGTGAAAAATATAGGATAAAGTTCTGCTAACAAGTTAATAGCAGGAATTACAGTAGGAAGTGCTTTAATCTTCTCTTTAGACTGTTTAGTTTGGTGATATGGGCATAACCTCATTGCTTCGCCTGGTAATATTAGGAGTCAAAACACTGACAAGGGAGTTAATATATTTGTTAGCTGTGATGTATCATAAATGATTGCACTATGGCTGCTTACACTGAGGCAAATGCCAAGTGATCCTTCTCTCTCTCTCTCTCTCTCTCTCTCTCTCTCTCTCTCTCTCACACACACACACACACACACACACACGTATTTTAAGCAGAGCACAGGAAGAGAAACTATAATTTGCACAAATGGTAATTTTTATATACATATACGTGTTTATAAACACATGTAGAAATATTATAGTGCCATGATACTAAGTATTTCACATCAAACAATTCCCACATACCGGTCTCTAAAGGGACACTGTAGCTTGGCAAGCTCTGTCCAGCTGGCGATCTTGCTATGACACTGACAGAGAAAGCAGATCCACAGGGAAGATTAATTAGGGTACAAGAGTTTCCAGAGCTTGTACAATGCCAAAGGCCAGCCTCTCCTCGGGCAGTTACGATATATGTAGCTTCCTCGTTGTTAGATTGCCAGTGCACACTGATCACAGAAAGAGCCTCCTTTGAGATATTTTTAATTTCAGGACTGCAGGGAGCTGAAAGTTGTTTAACAGATTGTTTATACATACCATAACAGTTACACAAAAATTAACTTCCATTTGAAACTAATGAGCTCCTTTGGAAAAGTGTGTAATCCTGACATTGTTACGCTTAGTGTGAATTTAGAACTCATGACAGAAATGATAACACAGATTTTTGCATACAATAACAGCAATGAATTGTAAGTGATTTTCAGAAGCTTGGAGCACTCAGTAACTTTCAGTCCAAATCTTTTTTTTAGGTCCCCCATCACAGTACATTTTTAAATACTTCCAGCAGCCTCCTGTTTTCACTTATGTCTGTTACAGTAACTTAGACCTCTGCTAATGCTTTTCATGCATTAATCACTGCAGTCTACCTAATTATTTCCTCTGCTAAAGGAAGGTAGGAATGCACATACCTGTTGCCACATACTTAGATGCACACGATGTGTTGCTGCCCCTGGCCTCGCTGAAGGAGTAAACGGTGACGTTGTAGCGGGTGTTGCAGCGCAGAGCAGACAGGGTGCAGGCGGTGGCCGTGTCGTTGCACAGCACCGTCCCCCTCCCGGAGGCAGCCTTGGTCTCGTACATTTCAGCACCGCGGACGGGAGCCCAGCTCACCTCCACCGTGTCGCTCGACACCGGCACTGCGCGGAAGTTACTGGGGCAGCACGGCGCTGAAAGCAAGGCATAGATGGAGGTTCAGCCCGAGCAGAAAACTGTCATTTGCCTCTGTGCTTCATAGCTTAAATCGCCAAAGGTGTCTTGTATTGCACCAACTGAGCGTCGTTAATCCCAGACTTACTGCCCGAGTACTTCCACACCCTTTTTTTTAACAAAGGGCCTCCTAATGGATATGTAATCATTGCATTTATATGTACTTACACATAGAATTATGAATATCCTTGATCTAAAACTGCAAAACAACTGGAGATTATCTAATTCTTAAGGACGTTCTTCACAATTTCCCACTGAACTGATTATTTTACCCCCACACTAAGGAAAAATTGAAGTTTAAGTCATTATCTTGAAAAAATGAAAATGTACATTCAGCTCTATCATAAATACAGGTAGCAGATCCAAAAGGAACTTGCAAGAATACTTTACTACTTACCAGTTGTGTAATTGAATACATCACCTAAAGGACTCTGCCCTGCATTGTTATATGCAAAGACACTAACGAAGTAAGTGAAACCGCAGTCTGACTGGAAATGGCACTGTGTGTGGGATGTGTTGCAATATACTTCCAAGCCATCGTCGCTCTTCACAAAAACCACATAATAATGTCCAAAATTTACTCTAGACCATGATATCAACAAGTTTCCATGTTCATCATCTTCAATTGATATATTTCCTGGTGCACAAGGAACTGAAAAAAAAGATTAGAAAAAATAATTGTCATTGGAATATTTGTATTCAAGTTATGCTGTAGGGGGAAAAAAAAAAGGAAAATCTGATACATGTGGAATTATTCTACACGGTTTGAATATTTAGAATTGTCTTGCTCAAGAAAACAGGAACTCAAATGGCTTTACAGATGATGTTACTTACATTTAGATGAGAAGTGACTGTGATTTTTACAGAACAAAACATGCTACCTTCATCACTTACATAAGAGAGATCTGCTGAAGGAGATCCCATAATCAAAAGCAGAGGCACCAGGCAGTATTGCAGAAGAAACTGGCACATTCTGTTCTCACAGATAAATAGTTCTGGATGATTATCAGAATACTAGTTTTAATAGCATTTGTCATCTAAAAAACTTTTGTGAAAACCTTTGATATGGTGGTACAAAACTCACTGACTGTGTCTGATTAAAAAAAGTAATTTGTTTCGGTTTCCTTTCTGGTGGCATCCTAAAATTTTGCAATAGGCTGAAAACTCCATAGGTTTTGCTCAAATAACATCTTTCCTTTCTTTATGGTTCAAAGAGTTCAGCTTGCTGCTAATTAGATTATACATAGTCAAACAGAAGTAATATGGGCTGAGAAGATTACAGACCACAGCTTAAACTTTCTCTTACCAAAGGCTTTCATTCCATCAGAACTATTCCCAAGTTCCTCTCGAATGATCTCTAACTCACAATGAGAGGTCAAAATGAGGTAGGTAACATTACATAAATCAGTAATTAAGCTGTGTCTGCAAGGTAGCATGTAGCTTCCATGGTTTAGGTTTTGCTTACATGGGCCATACATCTAACAGACCAGTAAGCATTAATCTCTGACATGGTAATGGTGCTAAGTAGCAGAGATTAGCAGCTTTTGTGCTGACCAAGCTGCTACCTGAAATGGTCTATGACCACATCTTAATTAAGTCCAGTGGTACCATTTTAGTTGCAAGTGTTTATTTGTTAATCTGCATTCTAAGTTACAACTATATCTAGCCTGAACAGTTCTCAGTCTATGGCCAGTCCTCAGTGCTATTTCCTCACAGATTTCTCCTGGTCTATTTGTGACAGATCTACCATAGTAGGATATAGCTGCTATTCCTTAGATTAGTTTTACACTCAGAAAATTGACTTTAGAATATGTACTATGGGTAAGAGGAAAAGGCAGACTTTTTGTTTCAACTAACAATATATATACACCACTGCCAGTTTCTCACAGAAATACTAAGAAAATTTAGGCTATTATCTCCTAAGCACAAACATACATAGCATAGTTCATGCACACAGTTCAGAAGCAAAAACAATTTTGAGAACCAAGAATGTTAATGGCCTAGCATTTGAAATTAAATAAATGTATGCCCGAATGCCATAAGCTATGTAATAATCGATTGTTCACATACTAGTTTTTAAGCTCACTGCATCAGTAGGATTACTGGATCCAGCATCATTGTGTGCTGTGACAGAAACAGAATACTCAGACCCGCACTGGAGCGATGGTACTGTGCAGGAGGAAGAAGATGTGTTACACTTCAGTTTCAACAGTCCACTGGAGGCAGTCACACTGTAAGTCAGAGCTCCTTCTGCTGGCATCCAAGAAACAATAGCTCTTAAAGCTCCGCTACTGAAAGCTACTTGAACATCTGCTGGTGCCTTAGGACCTACGGTATATCAGTTTGGAACATACTTGTAAATACAGCTTTGCACATGGTCTACAGACATCATTGTTCTCAGAACATGCAAATGAAGAATTTTCAACCCTCATTGATTTAAAAGCTAAATAAATAAATTATTTTAGTTGTACTCTGACAACGAGCATTCTTTTAAAATTCCTTGCCTTATTTGAATATTTGTTGTTTAAATAAGTAAGAAAAATAAGTAAGAAAAATCCTCAAATTAGTCTAAGCATGTGCAATCTTTACCCAAGCCTGTAAAACTTTGCTGGTAGTTAATGGTATCTTTACCTCAGTAACATTCATTAAACATAGACACACCATCTGAGTTTCCATAGAATAAAACTTACATGATGAGAAAACCTATCCAGTGTATCTTAGAAAAGCATGATGTAATCCTATGTACATAAATACTTCTTGGTACAGCTTCTTATAAAATGCTTACAAAGTTTCAGAAAAGAACATTTCTTACTTGTTCTTTGGTTATATGTGAAATCATCTCCAGGAAGGCCGTTGGCATTCCAGGCATATGCTTTTATAGTATAGAGAGTTCCTGGATCTAAGTTTGAAAATACAAAGGAGGTATTGGTGGTGTTCTGCTTCAGCATTCTGCCCAAACCGTCTGATCTCATCAGGGACACAGAGAACCCAACTGCCATATACACAGCTTTCCAGCTCACTGCAATGGAATCACAGCTCGGGGAACTGGCAGACAGAACTGGAGCAGACAAGACTGTTGAGAAAGAATATCACTTAGGCTTTAGTTTCTCAGTCATACTGTTTGGTGGGTTCAAATACCAGAAAAATACCCAGAATTTAAAAATCACCACCTTAAAAAAAGACAAAAAAAAAAGAAATAATAAAAAAAAAAACCAACCCAGCAACCCCAGGAAAACAAATTAATGCAAGACTGGCAGAATAAATTAGGAAACTGATTTGGTACTTCTATTATATGACAGGTTTTGTAAAATGAATGCAATTCATGCAACTTATAAACAAATTACAAAAGGTTGAGTGTGTAGAAGAATGCAAATCACTAAGACACTGTATTTCCCATCATCTAAGTTTTACATTATCTTATTGTTTTGTGCTTTTGGTTGTATTTTCTTCATTTATTCCATTCTGTCAAGTTGTGTCTCTTGTTAAAATAAAATCCAGACATTCACAGAAACTCTATTAAAACTTCTCTATTAAGCATTAACTTTCAGTACAGTCACAAAGCAAAACCACTAATTCAGATTCACGTCCTTGTCATTAAGTCAAATGGTAGAATTCCAGTCCTCAAAAACTGCAAGGAGAACGTGCTCAATACAATCTAAAATGCAAGACTGTAATTACTGGTACTGCTATGCTTCTTAACTACACTGCTACGCTGCTCATTTTCAGCTCCAAAAGTTTTTTTAAATTTTTTTTTTCTTATTTTTATTTTTAAGTTAAGATACTTGCATAAATTCTTTAGATTACAATAATGCAGAATGGAAATAAAAATAAAATCCACCTGTTGTTGTTTTTCTGGAAGGTGAAGGGCGGCTCTTTCCTCCTGCGTTTACAGACCTGATGGTGATTCTGTAGCAGGTGGCTGGTTCCAATCCCATCACTGTACCTGGTGATTTTGTGACTACAGTTTCAATGCAGGAATCTCCATCCTGTGCAGCCAGCAGATAACTAGTAGCTCCAGGTACTGCTCTCCATTCTACTGTGATACTATTGCTAAGTTTTGAGTAAGCTTGATCAATAACAGGAACGTCTGGAGCTAAAACATGAATAACAACAAAAGATGCGCTAAAAAAAAAAGAATTAAAACGTATTTGGGATGTCAGTATGTGCCTCAAAGCAAATGTATTTATAGGGAGGAAGCTCTCTTAGACCCAAGCATTTTCTCATTTGTTCATACTTGACACCCTCTTTTGTCCCCTTTTAAAAATGGCAACATATATTCTATAAGACCATGCCCCCAGAACATTTGCACTTGTGTCTTTCTGTGTATTTGAGCAATTGCTATGTATTGCATTTTTTCTCCTTTTAATATACAGTCGTTAGTAGCAATTCATAACAAAAGAGAATAAATAGCATCATTGGTATCAGAAATAAATTAGAAAACATGGATCATTAATGTCTGTTCTCAGATAACTGATCTAGCAGTAGAAGGCTTTTATACCTATCGGGATAAACACTGCTACTTTTAATTGTTATTGCACTGATTCCTTATATTAACAAACAAACAAACAAAAAACAAACAAACAAAAACACTGGGAAGGTAATGACTATTTCTAAAAATTATTACACAGAATCACGGAGTGTCAGGGATTGGAAGAAATCTCAAAAGTTCATCTAGTCCAACCCCCCTACTGGAGCAGAAACATGTCAGGTCACACAGGAACACCATCAGGTGGGTTCTGAACTTCTCCACAGTCTCTCTGGGCAGCCGGTTCCAGTGTTCAATTATGATTAAAAATATTTTCAAACAGAATTTCAACACAATATTTTCTCAATTGCCCTTCAGCATGAGTTAAAAAGTACTTTGTTTATGTAGATTCTTCATCAATGCTAGCATATGCTAGCAGTCCTTTGAAACAAAAATACCATTTATCAGCACCAGTGTATACAGCTTCACATCTGCACTTGTAATGAAAGGGCAAATAATTTGGAAAGCTGGAGACTGAGCAAGCTGTGCATGGTAGCTCAGGGAATCATATAAGAAAAAAGAAGAGGAGAAAATGAGCTAATCATGCTGCTACCAAATTCAGTGTGAGTGTCAGCAAAAGGTTTCAACAGGAATGGCAGCTATTCCCTACAAATACAACAAACATCAGGGATTCCAACCCTTTAGAGGTCAATTGAAATTACTCTTCAAGAAGGTTCTCTTACTAACCTGTTGATTGCACAGTCTGTGTTTCTGCCAGAGTAATTCCATTCGTGTCAATGGCTTCTGCTTGTATAGCATAGGCAGTATTGGGAATTAATGAAGTTAGAGTGCTCTTAAGTGTCCCATCACTAAAATAAGCCAGTAAAGAATGGCCTACACTATTCACAGCTGTAGCTGTGACTCTGTAAGAAGAGGCTCCTGAAAACTTGGACCATCTGAGATAAATGCTTCTTGAGGTCACGTCATATATAGACATAGAGAAACCTAAAAAAACAAAACAAGACAAAAAAAAAACAACAAAGCAACACACAGAGAAAAAAAGCTGCACACGAACACAGACGAAAACAAACCATAATCAGAAAAACATTTCAGTTGTTCTTGAATGTAGGGAAGTCTTGACAAGACGATTGTTCAGACCCTAAGCAAGCATATAGGTGAACTGATTTTTAGCAGATCGACATTCCACTGATTCTGCAGTGCTATTTCCCTTGTTCACTTCTGTAATCTCTTAATTACTGCAATAACTACCACTTGCTCTCATAATATCACTTGTGATATTATCACCATTTTATTATGTGATAATATCACCATTTTACTGGAAACCCTTAAACACTTCAGTCTACTTATTTTCTAAACATACTGGATATAATTCACATATAGATATACAACCTTTTGAAAAGCACTCTACATGAATAGGATCAAATGTGCGTTCTGCAGCTTGTGGAAAGAATGTGCTGCAATAAGCACCTAGGTGCTAAAACAGCATGGCTATGGTTAAACGTTTAAGACTTTCACAGGTCAGTGTATTCCTGGAGGAATATCCTGCTTATAGACTGAGCACATTTTGAAAGCACTCCTTGCAGTCTTGTATTCCTCATATTACACACACAAGGCAACAGGAGCTCTTGGCACAAAACGTGAGACTGAAGGAAGTCTAAAATGCACAGAACACTAAAAGATATTTAGTGCTCAGGAGATTTTGATTGTTATTTATTTGTTTGTGGCATGAGCGAATCCACCTGTGAATGTTAGATAGAATTGAGACTCCTAAAAGTGAGGTTTACAGTTTATAAAGGTATCAACAATATCATCACAAATTTCTAAAAACTCAGTCAATCCTGGAAAGTGGGTTTTTTTTGTTTGTTTTTTGTTTTTTTTTTTCCCCTAAAACACCGAGAACTTACACAGTTTATTAGAAATCAGAATTGCGTATGTTCTCTTTGGACCCAATCAGAAATGAGCAGCCAAAACCAAAACACCATTTTGAAGATGTACCTGTGTTAGCTGAAAAGACCTGAAAAGGAAGACATAAAAAGTTAGAAATACGAAGCAAAATATTCTATTTGGGAAACTAAAAAACTCCTAATGGTGCTGGTAATAACAATATCAACTTACAAGATTACACGTTTTAACACATTTCACTGATGTGATGTGTTTGTTCAGACTCATTAAGCACAGACACTGCAACCAGTGAGGCAGATCGGCAGATTACATTCCTCGTTCTCCTCTACGGATCTGCCTGTCGATAGGCAGGCTCTGAAAGATCCTATCTCTTCAAAGCCTTGCCAGTCACCTGTAAACGCTCGCAACACTTGGAAAGAAGACCAGTCGCACTCACCACTTGCAGGCTGTGGAGCTGCAATCCGACGAGCAGCAGCGATGCTCGCTCCGAACCGCGCATCTCCGCGCAGCGGCGGCAGCCCGGTCCTACACGGACTTCAACTTGTAGGTCAGCAAGTTTTTGTTTTGTTTTGTTACAGTTCCTGTATCGAATACACAAAACTAATACAATAATCACGCCCAATTCAGATCTGAAACTTGCTGTTTAGTTTACGGTGGCTCTTTCCGTCTGCTCACAGGCACGTTCCTTTCAGTCTGTGATTTCTTTTGAACGGAAAGACGCTCCCCGCAGCGGCCCGCAGCTCTCCTCCTCAGCCTCTGTGCCGTTTGAGAAGGCACGGAGTTGTCCACCAGGCCGTGCCCTCTAACAGAAGAGGGATTTCGCGATGAACCGACGGCCGGCTGCACCGTGCATGGAGGCAATTTCGCTCCCCAAGGAGCCGGGCTCCTCACCTACCCTACCAGCAGCCTGCCAGAGAGAAACCTTCCTCAAGGAGGGCGCGCCAATCGCCGCCCTCCCGCCCGTCGCCACCTGGAAGGCGGAGCAGCTTCTGAGGGGCGGGCCGGCACCGCCTCTGAAGAGGGCGCGGTTTGGAGCCGCCTGGTGGTACTGAGAGCAAGATGGCGCCGGCCGTGCGGGGGCTGAAGAGTTTGGTGTGGCAGAGTGAGTCAGTGAGGGTCTCACCTCGCTGTTCTTTCGCGCCCGCCCGGGGGTCGGCATGTCGGCGGTCTCGCTGTTCTGACGGAGCTGAGGGCGGGGGGAGCCAAGCCGAGCGGAAGCGGGGCGGCAGCGGGAGAGCGCTGCCGGGTCCGGGTGCCTCTGTGCGGAGCCCGGCAGGGCCGCCGTGCTGCTCGTCCTCCGCCGCCTCGGGTGGGGGCGGCTCGGGCGGGAAGGGCTCCGACACTGCCGAGGTGAGGCGGACCCGGCCGGGTTCCGCCACCTTGGTCAGGTGGGGCGGAAGTCACCTTCCCACGCGCTTCTCTTCCTTCGGAGCCGGGGGCTCTGCGCGGGGCTCGCGAGCGGCTCTTTGGTTCCTGGCGGAGCTGCAGGATCTCCGGCTGCGTGTCAGGAGGCGGCCGTGCCTTCCTGTCCCGGCAGCGGGCGGGCAGGTGCGAGAGCCCTCTCTGTGCCGTGCGATGGTGCTGTTAGCAGCTGTTGTTCCGAGATCACGCGGATTTCTATGAGGGGTAGTTCTAGACTGAATCTAAGCAGAGAAAATAAGTGGAAAAAGGTTGTTTCATCGAAGTTTATCGTCAGTTATGCTGTCCACGCGTATTTGAGGGGAGAGTAATTAAAAAAAAGGGAGCAAAGAGAAGAAAAAGCAACTTGTGGGCTTTTAAAAAAAGCATCGATATTTCTTATGACTCAGTATTTCTGCAACTTTTTTTCCCAGAAGAGTTGCTTATGGGAGAGTTGCAGTCCAGGTGCTTCCTTAGGGCAGTATGGTCTGCTTTTCTTATTTTTTGTCATTTGTTATGTTTTGGGCCTTTTTTACCACCAAGGTATAGCAGTCTGTTATTCTGTCCAATTGTATCTACTTATTTTTCTTTCTGTCTCTCTCATGTAGAGGGAAAATGCCTTAACTGAATTGAATGGGATAGGTGATTGGTATGGAGAATGAAGGAAATAACCCCACAGAGAGGAATGGAGCAGTGCTTATGGTTGCTTGTTAGAAACAAATGAGGTGATTTTGAGAGCCTGTAAGCCAGAGTGAATTCTTTAGATAAGTAGCTGCAGGTGGAGACAAAACAAATGGCAGTTTGAATGCTGCAGGGGCAAGTGTGCTGTGTCTGCTATGCTGGTAGCTTGGAATGATTACTTTTTCATGATGGGATGAAGCTGTGGGCAACTGAACTGTTCATTTGTTAGGGTTTTTTCTCTAGGCAAGTAAGTGAAAGTACTGTATGGGAAAATACCTGACATTTCAGGTTATGTTCTCAGGCTCTCCATTTACTGAAAAAGATGTCCGTGTAATGCTAAATGCTGGATTACTGGTGAGAGAGTTCTCAGAAAACATAATGAACTTTCACAAAGTTTAAAAAAAAAAAAATAATCCAGATGAGCTCATACACCTTGTGTAGAGACCTGGAAAGAAATGTAAGGAACATAGAGTGTATGAACGTGAAGGGGGAAGAAGGGCCTGTATTACACACTGGGCTTGGGTATGGGTTTTGGTGTATTAGGTTTGGTGTCATGCCAGAGAGTTTTTAACATAAGCAAAGATATTAATGTTTACAAACATTGAAAAAACAGATGTGCTTTTTGTTGCATGTACACCTGCTATTCTGGACCCTTTGACAGTTCTTTCACTTGGCAGGAGGCACAAAATGCATGCTGAAACCGCAAGCTTGTGTATTAGACCTCTGTTAGTACTAGCTCTATATTTGAGTGTGACAGAATGGCTGCTGTTAGTTAGACCCAGACAGCAACAGCATCTGAAATTCCTTCTCTGGGGAAGAACAAACAAGAGTAACTGGACTTTGTTACTTTTTTGTTGATAAAAGGATAGGCTCATCAGTTCCCCCAGTTTTCTGACTTCTTCTTAATTTATATATATTACTGATATGATCAAATTTTTGATAAACTGATGTCCCTGCTGTAGAAAGGTGCAACTTGTGGTTCTGGCTATCTCTTAGAGCCAGGGTCTAGTTGTGCCTTACAGCTATTATTGCTACATGTTTTTTAGTCAAAATTTCTTTCGAAGCTCTGATAGCAAGGAAAAATAACAGCTGCCTGTTATAAGGTAACTTTTATTTTGTGAATGGCCTGGGGATTCCTTAGGTTTCTGCTGGAATTCTAGAGAGCGAATGAGCATGTTTAAAACTTGCGTGTGCTGGAAAATAGGTCTGCCTGTTGGTATGTTGGTCTAATGGCTGTTTCTGGAGGACTAACTTAAATTTTTGCATGGGTGCCATCTGTTTAGTGGCACAGTTTACTTGAAAGCAAAGAAACAGAATCCCGGCACAAAGTGAAATATTTACAGGCCTGTGATTGTTTAGAATGATGTCAGCAGAAATAAAATTCTTTTTTGGAACAACTTGATATCTCTGATTGTTAACTTGTTTATCTCTCTTCTTTTCTATAGAGCTGAAATCTGCAATATTTGATGACTGTAGGAAAGAGGATGAATGGAAGGTATAGTTGTGTTTAAGTTTCATTTGATGGATGACTTTATTTCTTGCTTAAAACCTTGCTTGCTTTCCAAACAATAAGAGTATCAGCTCAGGTATTCATTTCTCTAGAACTTCAATTTTGGTGGTATCCAGGAGCAGATGACACTGCTGTGTGATATATGAGCAACAGGATTCAAAAGTGCAAGACAAGCAAGGCCTGAAACTGATGCTACTAACATGTGTGCTGCTTTCAGTGATGCTTGAACAGTAGTAAAAGTAATAGAAAAGTACAGATAAAATGTCTGCAGGAAGATCATTTGATCCAAGTGTTCATTTTTTTCTCATTTGCACACTGTTCCTTTATGTCCCACGTTGAGTTTGCTGTCGGTTATCTTGTTTTTCTTACTTACCTTTCAGTGGATGCCCTCAAACAGAATCCCAGGAATGTCCGGGCTGTTAATTGCTTTTGAAAGACACTTGGCCATATTAGTCATCTAATTATTATTTGTGTCATTCTTGCAAGATTTTCTTAAAGGACAGTAGACTAGAGAGAACACCTGATTTTTCAATTTCATTAGAGTGTGTTTTGATGTCCATCTTCCAGTGCTTTTTCATTAACATTTTCTAATTCATTTTTCTTGTTGCAATGTAAGCCAATTGATTGGGAAGAAAAACAAACTGACTTCTTCATTTTGTGTGGCTCATTTTGTTTCTGGATTTTTTTTTTTTTGAGTCCAAAATTGTTGTAATTAATTCAACTTAGTTAATTCTTGATTCTTTTGTTGGTTCTTGTTGAGTTTCTATGAAGTGTACGCTTGTTGTCTGAAATGTGAGGAAGTAAGCAAGCAGTGGTATAGAATACCGGAGCAATCCTGTGAGTTTTTTGTAGATTCTCATGCTTAAGAAGGTATGTAGAGATGGTCAGGAATGCTGAGAGAGCCTTATCACTTCATGAGTCTGAAGGAAGAAGTCTCTGATAGCTGGAAGTAATTATCACCTGCTAAAACATGCAAGAGCCGGGCAAGTAGCGTGGGAGCAGAAAGAAGCTGCTTGAGCTGGAAAACAGTTCTAGAAGAAGAACAAATATGTTTCAAAAGGCTGTACGGTAAATTAGGCAGGAATTCAAGACTTATGTATTGAAGTGAAAGGCTGAGGCAGTTTTCTGTAGGAAGTCTAGGGATAAGGTACATATTGAAGATGCAGTTAATCATCTGAAATCCTGTACGCAGGGAGATGCCTTCTGACATTGTTCAAGAATAATTTCCTACTACTACAGTTTCTGTATGCAGGTGATAGAAGGATACAGTGTAAAGAGACATTTTGGAATCAAATTTTCAAGCCAAGGCTCTCAAGAAATAATACGGCTGTACTATACCCAGTCAATTTAATTGTTTTTTTGTTTTGTTTTTTTTTTTTTAATTTTTAGGTAATTCTTTTGGATGATTACACTACTAAATTACTGTCAATGTGCTGCAAAATGTCTGATCTACTAGCAGAGGGTATCACAGGTAAGTGTAATTCTTTGCAATACGTGGATCACCATGTCCCGAGATGAAGGGAAAGAATTGAGTTGATGGTACTCTTTCAAGAAAGTGTCTTATTTTGAGGGTTGAAGGCAAGTAACTGTGGGGTATTACGCTATCAGGTTTGTGGCTTTTAGAATAATCAATTGATTTCAATTAATCTGTTTGAAGAAAAAATGAAACACTTCTCTGCCTAGAGTCTCCAAATGTTTTTTTTTAATAATTGAAGACTGATTTAAGGCTCATGGTTATTGATGTGGTTTGCTTTGTTTGCTTGCTAATGTCAAGAAGATGAGGATGTTATCCATGAAGTAATGGATTTCTCAAGGACGTTACCTGTCAACTGAAATGAATACAACATCTCAGTAAAGAATTAAGTGAACTATACAGAAACATAAAAGAATAGGTGAACTGTTTTTGTAGTGTGTTCTGGTAGTGACTGTTATGCTGCTTTGAATGCATTTGTGTTCATGGGCAGTAGAGTTAGGATACGAAGGTATGGAAACATAAGTGCTTAAGAGAGGATGATAACAGGAGGCTAGACAAATTCATGAGGGAGGTTTGCAAGCAAGTGGATTCAGTGCAGAGATAAGAATTGAAATTTGAGTTATACGTTGCAAGGAAATCTTATGGCTTCTCTATGAAATGAGAGCTTTCCGTAATTAAAAACAAGTGTAACATTAAATGATATCGATTATTGCTTTACCAGTAATAGAACTGTCAGCAGCATGAGAAGTAACTATCCGTTTTCTCTGTAGCTTGGGAGTAATTTCTAGTAGATGTATTTTTTTTCCTTTCATGTGCTGGAGTTACTCAGATGTTCCTTGATGCTGACCACTGTCAAGAGTCGGTTGTGTCAACAGACAGATTGTGATACATCTTGGCTATATAG